GGTGGACGAAGAACACAAACCATGTACTTGAGTTAAAGTAGAGACACCCAAGGTAAAATATTACTGCAGTAAAAGTAGAAGTTCCTCCCTTTAGACCTCCACTTGAGTAAAAGTACAAAAGTATTTGCCTTCAAATGTACTTAAGTATCAAAAGTGACAGCACTAAAAGATTAATTATGACTTTAATGTACTGTTATCATTTTTGTAACAAGACTCGCTTCATTAACTCATTTTAGGTGAAAATACTCCAGTGTCTCTCTTGGTAAACCAGTCTTTTAATAGAGTCATTAATTAGTGATGCTGATGTCTATTAAAATTATCATAAGCACAAAACACTGAAGGCAAACAGTTTCCATCAGGTAGAACTGAGTGGCTCTGAAATCACTTTATACAAACAAGCAAAGTTTCAGTTTAAGATTTATTTGAACTCAGTTCCAAGTTTAAGTTTAATAAAAACTTTAAACTGAGATTCACAAATGAGTTTCCTTTACTAAACTGCATCTGTAGGTCTCTGTTCATAAACATAAACCAGCCAAAACTAATTTACTATAAAATGAAATGTGTTTGTATAAATTCAGAATAAAGACACGTCAGTCACAACTGCATATGAGTACATATTTCTATATTGTGGTCTGTTTACACAAAGTTAGGTTAGTTCATCATTTATGTTGAATAGACTCTCCCAACATTTTACGCCGCTGCACTGATGTTGAACCGTGTGCTGCACTGGGTCGGTATGACCAACAGGTCAAAACAAGCTCAAAACAAAGTGACCGCTGTGCCCTGATTGGTGTTCTTGCTTTGCGCTTCTTTCGTTTTGACGTTACGTTTTTATTCACACAGAAACCAAAAGGAACGTCAGATTTCTCATAATGTCGTGGAGTAAAAAGTGAGATATTTGACTTTGAAATGTAGTGGAGTGAAAGTAAAAAGTCACCAAAATGGAAAAACTTCAGTACAGATACATGAAAAAACTACTTAAGTACAGCAATGGATTACATTTACATTTTCGTTCCTGTCCACCACTGTATGTCAGAGTCTCTCTGTCCTTGCAGTGCTGTTCCTTCACTGTCTTGGTTGGTAAATTCAACAAAGCAGAGTTTACACCCCAGGTGATCAGGCTCTTTGACCTTATCCCGCCTTGGTAGCCTCTATAGAACATCCTGGAAAATTAAAATGATGTTTTGAAGGGAGAGCATGATCTTATCTGAGAACATGCTTGGTTTAAATATCGATCAACTGAGGGATTATCAACGCTGTGACAGGAAAAATAAAGAGCAACATCACACCACTCATTAGACCAACCCCAGGACAGCAATAATGAAAAACCTAATCTAATAAATATCAATAAAATCAGTTTTATCCTCAGAAGAATATTAATTAATGCAGTAAATATATAACAAAATAAAAAAGCTAAATAAAATACAACTGACTTACATTCTTAAAGCTCATGCAGACAGTTGGAGATATTTTTAAACAATGAATGTTATATCATCAAGTAAAACATGTAGAGATCTGATCATAAAAGCATTTATAACCAGAGCCAGTGGCTTCTTCTGATGTTTGTCTGCAAAATGTTCACGTTACACTGAGGAAACTTTCCAGAAATGATATTTCAGCCTGACTGAGCTGTTTTCTTTCTGCTCTGTCGTCAGTGAGACCATTTTCAGCCTTTGGTCTGCTGTTGTTTCTAATGTCCCATAGAAAACTGTTGGTACTGCTGCTCCTTCAGTTCCCAAGCTTAAGCAACCAAACTGAGCTCTTTGATAAAAATCTACAACTGATATTGGGCAGAATCTTTTCAGGTCTTCTTGTGGACAGTGTCGACCACTAGAGGGACCTGTTGCTCTAATGAGCACCACTTGATGAAGATGCTATTAGAGAGAGCTGCCATTGGGCCAGGCACTATTAGGGAGAGCTACAGCAAACAGGGTTCTACATAGTAGGACACTAACATTACTGCTACTGAGTGCTGACTGGTTAGCATTACTGCTATTGAGTGCTGATTGCTTAGCATTACAGCTACTGAGTGCTGATTGGTTAGCATTACAGCTACTGAGTGCTGATTGGTTAACATTACTGCTACTGAGTGCTGATTTCTTAGCACTAATGCTACTGAGTGCTGATTGGTTAGCATTACTGCTACTGAGTGCTGATTGGTTAACATTACTGCTACTGAGTGCTGATTGCTTAGCATTACAGCTACTGAGTGCTGACTGGTTAGCATTACTGCTACTGAGCACTGATTGCTTAGCATTACAGCTACTGAGTGCTGATTGGTTAGCCTTACTGCTACTGAGTGCTGATTGGTTAACATTACTGCTACTGAGTGCTGATTGCTTAGCATTACAGCTACTGAGTGCTGATTGGTTAGCCTTACTGCTACTGAGTGCTGATTGGTTAACATTACTGCTACTGAGCACTGATTGCTTAGCATTACTGCTACTGAGCGCTGATTGGTTAACATTACTGCTACTGAGTGCTGATTGGTTAACATTACTGCTACTGAGTGCTGATTTCTTAGCATTACAGCTACTGAGTGCTGATTGGTTAGCATTACTGCAACTGAGCGCTGATTGCTTAGCATTACAGCTACTGAGTGCTGATTGGTTAGCATTACTGCTACTGAGTGCTGATTGGTTAACATTACTGCTACTGAGTGCTGAATGCTTAGCATTACTGCTTCTGAGTGCTGATTGGTTGACATTACTGCTACTGAGTGCTGATTGGCTGGCATTACTGCTACTGAGTGCTGATTGGCTGGCGTTACTGCTACTGAGAGCTGATTTATTGGTACGCTAATCAGCTGATTGGCTGAGTGAAGTGGCTTATGCTCACTTATGTGATAGATGTACATAAGACACTCTTAGTTCCATGACTGGAGTTCAGTAGCGCTCAGACAAAACAGGTTTTCAGACAAAACAGAGGTTCTTCTTCCTGGTTCAAAAGCTACTAAACAAACTGTCTAATTTAACCTTAAATATAAAAGTTTCTCAGTTGCATCAGGTACATCTGTGAAAAATCTTGGTGTCACAATACAACCCGAACTGTCCTTCGATGCACATAAACCCGATCAGGCATAACATTATGACCACCTCCTTGTTTCTACACTCATTGTCCATTTTATCAGCTCCACTTACTATATAGGTGCACTTTGTAGTTCTGGGTTCTGGGTGGTGGATCATTCTCAGCACTGCAGTAACACTGACATGGTGGTGGTGTGTTAGTGTGTGTTGCACTGGTCTGAGTGGATCAGACACAGCAGTGCTGCTGGAGTTTTTAAACACTGTGTCCACTCACTGTCCACTTCATTCTCTGCTGTTATTGTTTGCTATTCGGAGTCAGAGGAGGATGGGTTCCCCTTTTGGGTCTTGGTTCTTCTCATGGTTTCCTCCTCTTGCTCTTAGGGAGTTTTTCCTTGTCACTGTCGCCACTGGCGACGCTCATGGGGGCCCGGACCTGGATTTCTTCTGTAAAGCTGCTTTATGACAACGCCTGTTGTAAAAAGTGCTATATAAATAAACTTTGACTTGACTATAAATGTTCTGTGTTGAGCAGATCAGTGCATTTTTCAGTGTAAAACTATTAAGCATTTTCAGGCTACGATTTTGTACAAGAGCTTCATCGGAATCTATTCGTTCGGGTGTCACTCAGACAAGATCGGGTCCAAATGATGTCAAGGCAGAGACAAGACAGAGTCCACGTGATGTCAGGGCAGAGACAAGACCGAGACCGAACGATGACGAGACAGCGTCCAAATGATGTGGCGAACGAAACAAGACCGAGACCGAACGACGACGAGACAGGGTCTAAATGATGTGGTGAACAAAACAAGACCGAGAACGAACGACAACGAGACAGCGTCCAAATGATGTGGTGAACGAAACAAGACCGAGACCGAACGACAACGAGACAGCGTCCAAATGATGTGGTGAACGAAACAAGACCGAGACCGAACGATGACGAGACAGCGTCCAAATGATGTGGTGAACGAAGCAAAACCGAGACTGAACGACAACAAGACAGCGTCCAAATGATGTGGTGAACGAAACAAGACCGAGACCGAACAATGACGAGACAGGGTCCAAATGATGTGGTGAACAAAACAAGACTGAGACCAAACGATGACGAGACAGCGTCCAAATGATGTGGTGAACGAAACAAGACCGAGACCGAACGACGACGAGACAGCGTCCAAATGATGTGGTGAACGAAACAAGACCGAGACCGAACGATGACGAGACAGCGTCCAAATGATGTGGTGAACGAAACAAGACCGAGACCGAACGATGACGAGACAGCGTCCAAATGATGTGGTGAACGAAACAAGACCGAGACCGAACGACAACGAGACAGCGTCCAAATGATGTGGTGAACGAAACAAGACCGAGACCGAACGACGACGAGACAGCGTCCAAATGATGTGGTGAACGAAACAAGACCGAGACCGAACGATGACGAGACAGCGTCCAAATGAAGTCGAGACTAACACAAGATCGAGTCCAAATAATGACGAGACCGAGACCGTTAATTTGCGCTCTCGAGACCGGACTCGAGTGCCACAACAGCTCCTCCCTATAAACATGTTATAGCTCCCATCCATCCATCCATCATCTAAACCGCTTATCCTTCTGGGTCGCGGTTGTTATAGCTCCCATTATAAGTTATGACTTCCGTTGTTTTTGTGAGGACCAGTGGACGTGTTCTCTGCCTTTTTCATTATTTGTATTTCAGTCTTATATCAGGTTTATAAACCTGGTTATAAAGCCCTGCTGATTATTACTCAAGCACGGTTTCGACCGTCCACAGCACACAGGACAACTTTTAAAATTCACTCATACTATAAACACAGAAAGCATCCTTGTTGATTGTCCTAGCGTGCTGCTAGTGGCCCACGCACATGGTCACTGGGCGGAAGGCCAGACGCCGCCCATGCTTTGGGGGGAGGAAAAAGCGCGCGCTGACAAACCCAAGGCGTGCAAAAGCAGGGAGCTGCAGCCATGCACAGTCTGGCTGTGTGCATGTGGATCTTCACCCTCCGCGCCGCCGCTGAGTTCTCCTCCAGGTCCGAGCTGGAGTACGAGTTCGGCGACTACAGGGGCAGATGGTGCATCGACGAGCAGGGCTTCGTGTACGCCATCGGGGAGGTGTACCAGCCCAGCCCTGCTGCATGCCCCTGCACGTGCACGGAGGACGGACCAGTGTGCTTCCGGCCGAAGTGCCCACGCATTCACCCCCGGTGCACGCGCGTCCGCTACAGAGCCTGCTGCCCCGTATGTGAGGCCGTCAGCAAGGTGTGCGTGTACGGAGGAAAGACTTACAGACTGCTGGAGGAGTTTAAGGTGAGTTAGCGAAGCAGATTTGCAAACATATTTATTTTTTGCATTTGCAGTCAGTTTAATTTTAATGGGTGATTTTATACTCATTGCATTGTAAACTACCTCATACCACTAAGTGCAATACCTGCTCTCATGTAAATACATCAAATCTGTTATATATGCTATGTAAATATGCAAATAGATGCACTTCTATACCTACTCTCTCATATTTTAACCTTTGCCTTTTTTATTTCTGCCTAATTGATGTCTATTTTATTTCCATTTGTATTTCTGCCTAATATATTGTCGCTGTCCAACGAAAACCATGTATCTCCATTTTTGTCGATTTTTATTTTTCCTTATCATTTTAACACACCAGCTGTCCTTTACATCGTGTGAATATTTCATGATGAATGGACCAATAGAAATGCTCTAAAATCACTTGGAATAAAATCTCTTTACACTGACTTACAGTGAAAGGTGAGAGTGTTTTTGCCCTCTCCTGTAAAGTCACTATTTTGGAGATACTTGTTTTTCGTTGGACAGCGACGATGTGCAAGTTTATGTTCATTTATGTGTCTTGCTACTGAAACACTGCAATTTCTCCTCAGGATCATAAAGTTCATCCATCGACATATCGATGTATCGATCTCTCTTTCTTATTACATTTTTTTGAGTTTATAACTTTTTGTGCATGTAGTAGCAATTTTTCTCCTCTGTTTCTGCTTCTATAGGCCTGTTTACATAGATTTACACAGATTGTTCACCTAATCAATGCGCAAAGGAAATACATTTGCATATTTTTTAAATATATGTCAAGTGTTTAATATATTTCCATATATCAGCTTGACATATATATAAATATAAAAAAATTGATGGTGGCAGGTACACACACACATATATATATATATATATGTGTGTGTGTGTGTGTGTGTGTGTGTGTGTCACCAGCTTAATAATGTTTGCATACTGGTTGCGATGGTGTTCCAGGTGGTTGCTATGGTGTGGTGGTTGTGACAGACATTTGTGTGATGCACAAACGAATCAAACATGTGAAAGCTCTCTGAAGTGTTGAGCTGCATTATTGATGAAAGAGAAAATACCAGCTGTAATGAAGATGTTTACACACCAAGTTAAAAAACAAACATGCTCATTATTCACAAGCATGCATGCAGCAGTCAGCAGTGTGTATGTATATACACGTAATACGTATGTAATATGTAGTATATCGAGTATTTATATGTGATAACAAACTGTCCTACATATATATATATATATATATATATATATATATATATATATATATATATATATATATATATGTGCTGCTGTAATTAAGACAACGATTCCTAGAATGTAATTGACAGTACAGAAATTGTGTTTTATTATTTTTTTTATTATTTCATTTAATTAGTTTATTATTACAGTGTGGGACATTTAAAACCTTGCTGTTTCAATATACAACCCGCATCAGCTTAATAATGTTTACATATCGCTGCTGTTGGAAGAAAACCTTGTATCTCCATTTTTGACGGTTTACAATTTTTGGCATAATTTGAAAATGCCTGTTGCCCTCTACATTGTGTATAAATTTTATGATGAATGGACCAAAAGAATCAGCCCAAAACGACTTGGAAAAATCTCTGGTTCCATTGACTTACATTAAAAGTAAAGCATGTTTTTTCCTCCTCCTGGAAAGTTCTCATTTTGGAGATACGAGGATTTCTTCCGACAACAGTGATATATTAAAAGATGATGTGCCAGTAGTGCTCATTGTGTTTGGTGTTCCTGTGTTGAGTAGCTGTCTCGATGTGAGAAGTGCCGCTGTGAGGCTAACAGGGAGGTGTACTGCAGCGTATCCGGATGCCCGGCTCTGCACTGCGTGGATCCCACATACGAGCCCAACCACTGCTGTCCCGTGTGCAAGAACGGTGAGAATCATGAACACGTTACCTACAGTACATCACAGTCCATGTCATTACCCAGCCGACAAGTAACGGAACTAATAGACAAATATATATCATAGATGTCCAAAGAGAAACGTCTCCAAAACAGTAACTTTACAGGAGGCAGCAAAAGCTTACTTGGCTCATAATGTAAGTTAATGTAAAGAGGGGTTATTCCAAGTGATTGTGGAGCATTTCTATTGGTCCATTCATCATGAAATGGTCACACAATGTACAGGACAGCTGCCCTGTTCAAATTAAGTACAAACAAAAATGAAGATAGATGTTTTTCTTATTGTTAAGTCAGTATACTTTGCTGAAATTGTGACCAAAATATGCCATCCGCACATTATCCCTCATATTGAATTGATCTGCTCCTGTGATTATTGTGGAAGGACAGAGAGGCGCAATGGAAAAACAGTGATGCAACGGAACTGTTCAATAGAGCGCTTACTACCAACCTGCTCGCCCGAAATAGAAACTAGTCCACAGCCTGCTGGGATAGCAGGGGTAGTGTGGGCCACAGGATGGTCCATGACAACAGAAGGCAGAAGGAGAGCAGATTGTGTATGTGTGTCGGTATGTATGTATGTGTGTTTACAGTACCCGATGGTACGTGAAGTCAAGATTGCTTATTTTGCTGGAGGCACATCACAAAAAACAGAATGCAAAAGAAAAGAATACAGGCTTTTATTTTTGAGCATATACAGTATACAGTATACAAAAAGTATTGGGACACCTACACATCACACCTACAGGAGCTTTTATGAATCCTATTCATACCATTCATCCAGAAGAGCATTTGTGAGGTCAGACACTGATGTTGGACGAGAGGGTCTGGCTCACAATCTCCGTTCTAGTTCATCCCAAAGGTGTTTGATGGGGTTGAGGTCAGGGCTCTGAGAGGGCCAGTCAAGTTCTTCCACACCAAACTCACCCAGCCATGACTTTATGGAGCTGCTTTGTGCACTGGGGCTCAGTCATGCTGGAACAGGAAAGGTTCTTCCCCAAACTGTTCCCACAAAGTTAGAAGCATAGAATTGTCCAAAATGTCTTGGTTAAGATTTCCCTTCACTGGATCTAAGGGTTCTAGACCAAGCCCTGAAAAACAGCCCCATATCATCATCCCTCCTCCACCAAACTTTACAGCTGGCACAGTGCAGTCAGGCAGGTAACGTTCTGCTGGCATTCTCCAAACCCAGACTCGTCCATCAGACTGGCGATCAGACTGCAGTTATTGATCAGCAGAGTGTTGGAGACTTTTATGCTCTGTGCTCCTCAGCACTCGGCGACCCGCTCTGTAACTTTAGGTGGTCTGATACTTCGTGGCTGTGGAGTTGCTGTGGTTCCTAAACGGTTCCACTTTCCAATTAATACCTCTCACAGTTGATCGTGGAAAATCTAGGAGGGAAGAAATTTCATGAACTAACTTGTTGCAACGGTGGCATCTTATTACAGCACCACGCTCAAATTCAGTGCTTGATTTTATACACCTGTGGCAATGAGACTGAATGAAACACCTGAATTCAATGATTAAAAGGTGTATAGTGTGTATACACCGATCAGGCATTATGACCCCCTCCTTGTTTCTACACTCATTGTCCATTTTATCAGCTCCACTTACTATATAGGTGCACTTTGTAGTTCTACAGTTACAGACTGTAGTCCAGAGGGCTGTACCAGAGGTGTGACAGCCTTCCTTTTGCTCTTCTAACCAGATGTTTGTGTGTTTCCCTCCAAGGGCCGAACTGCTTTGCTGGAAACCGCATCATCCCGGCCGGAGAGCGCGTGGAGATCGACGAGCGGATGGTGTGTTACTGCACTTACCGTGACGGCACATGGCAGACTCAGCCTCATGCCACCTGTGAGCCACGCCAGCAGCCAGACGAGGAGGACTCGTCCAAGCAGATGGAGGAGCGTGAGATGGAAAGAGAGAGAGAGAGGGAGAGAGAGAAGGAGAAAGAGAGAGAGAGGGAGCTGCTGCCCAGGCTGGACGTCATCCCGTGAAGGCGGGGGCTCTCCGGACAGGCCAGGAGAGAAGCAGGAGGTCAGGCAGGTGTCCGCTGCCTGGGTACACACAACCTGCGCTGGGTCTGACTGCCAGCACTGACCTCTTCCACCCCCTCAGAGCTGAGACACCTGCTGAAGCGATGCACTATATGTCCAGAAATATCCAGACACCTGCTTATCTAACATTTCTTCCAAAATAGAGGGTATTAAAGACCCCCTGCACTCAAAAACATGCTTTTTAAATGGTTTATCCCTGTTTTGGATCTCTTATGATGAGATATTTGTCAGCACAGCACCAATTCACCATTAGTAAATGCTTCTCAGTGCATGTAAACAATTGATGGGGCTTCAGATAAGCTCATTTTGTGATGTCACAAAATCTGTCATGGTCCAGTGTATTAAATTTGCTGAATTTGCTGATTAGAGCATAGCGATAACTACAGAACATGCAGTTAGCAATCTAACAGGCTCACTGGTTAGCATTATATAAATTGCTGAGACTAAAGCCGGGGTTATGCTACACAACTTCTACCCCGATTTTAGCCCCGATTCTCAGTCTGGCCGAGTCTGAGCTGGTCAGCTCTAGTCTGCAGTTGTTTGGGTCAGTCAGAGTTGACAGTTGGAGAGAGAGTCAAGTCGTGTTTGAGGGGCACGGACTCAGATTTTTGGCCTCCTGATTGCGTTTCAGACCAGTCGGAGTTTATCAGACATGTTTGATTATTTCGACCCGACTCTGAGTGTAATCTAGTATAAACTGGTCAGCGACTCAGTCTGAATGGATTCCTGCAACAGCCAATGAAAATAGAGAGTGCGAAAGAAGGAAATGCAGAAAGTAAACAAAGAAAAGTGGTGAAAAGTCTCAAGTGTGGAGCCAAGCTTTTTAATGAGCTGAATTTCTGTACATTTAAAACTCTAAAAAAAATACCAAACTGATCACATTTTTAAATCCATGATCCTCTTAAACACGTTTACCTGCTGTTTCTTTACTGTGTCGACGCAAACGGCAGAGAAAACAGCAGCAGCAGTGGTAGAACGCCAGAGTTCTTGCGAGCTCAGTGAGCTCCGTTCGGTTCATCAACAGCTTAAAAGTGGAATAGTGTGGATCCCCAATATTTCAGTCGCCCAAAAAAATCCAGTCTGATTGTGTGAGATGCCCCGTGTTTTTATAATCTGTTCAGACTTTAAAAGTCATGTAGTGAACCCAAGACTTAAGAGTGCATCTCGAAGGGCTCTTGAGTTTCTCTTGAGTAGTTGAGGTAATGCTCAGGGAATCGGACATTTTCTTGAGAGTCCCATAATAAAACTCATTCTAGTCCACTGGGACTTTTGTTCTCTGAAAAAAACATGAAAATCAGTGACGTTACATCAACTGTTCGCTGTGCTCCCTGACTGGAAACAGTGCGACGTCTCCAGCTCGACTCCCGCATAGTTCTAAAATGAAGGATGTTAATCTTTCTTGCCTCTCCACGTGAAAAAAAGTATTATATGTTTGTTTTTCCACTCTTGTGAGTGAAAAGAACTACTAGCAATAAGGGTTTTGGTCTAACCAGACGCTCGTCATTATCTGTTTTCTACTAACTGAATTTTTCATAGCAACCTGTTTGCTACTTTGCTAACCAGGTACATTTGTCTTTGATTTAACTCCACTTTTGATTTGATGTTAACGTTTCCCACTAACTACCTGCTGCCTACAAAATAATCTACAGCACACCATATTTCACAAGTCTTGCCCTTTATTTAACCATTTCCTGAACAAAATATGCCACTGAAGTATAGAAGTATAGGCTGACCTGCTATCAGGCTAACAGCTAACAGGCTAATTAGGCCCGTCTGCCAGTTGTGTGACTCCTGGCTCTCGAAATTCCTACTTTAAGGTGTAGCTTATTTTTCAAAAAACAAAGGATACAATATTTTTTTATTAGTTACAGAGGAATTCCACTGAAGTTTTTTCTAATTTTTGCGCAATTCTGCCGTTGCGATGTAAACAAAGCCGTTTAGAGTGGTTTTATGTAAAATGGCTTGTTGTAGAGAAAGTTATAGACGCAGAGTTCTTTACAGTGGTGCTGATAGGAACCAGGGGTCGCCACGACTACAACACAAATATAGACTTTTTATTTACTATCCAGAACCGCCTGTGAACCTAAACGAGTCCTCTGAGCTCTTATATGTAATGTTTATAACGTAATATAATGACTTAGTAATTTACTCTGGAACAGAGCATTTCACATCAAACTACTCCGAATGACTTTGGTTACATCATAGTCATTTAATTACATAGGAATTTTGATGAATTGGTGGAGTTCCCCTTTAACTAGAAGGTAGATTAAGAATTTGATTAAGTGCTGAGCTTCAGGAGATCTTCCTTGATAATAACAAACAGTGCAGAATGTGATAAGGACATACACAGAAGAATGAGCAAGGCATATGAATATCATAGAGTATAGGTCTGATGTCCACAAGAGTCCACATCAGGGAAGAATAATGGCCTTATGAGGCTCCTCAATACAAATACAACCCCCAACCCCCCCATCCTGCACTCTGACAATAAAGCATCTGTAAAAATACAACAGAAACAGAAATACTAAACACTTAAAAATGATGGTTCTTTAAAGGTTCTTTAGGAAATAAAATGGTTCTTCATAGAACCATGAACACTCAAAGAACCCTTTACATGATTAAATGGTTCTTTGCATTGTAAAAGGGTTCTTCAGATTAATGAAGAATGTGCTGTAGGTGGAAGGGTTCTTCTATTGTGACAAGCTTGACATTGTAACAATAACAGAACTCTTTTTGGTGCTATGTAGAACATTCTACAGCATGTTCTCCATCAGTCTGAAGAACACTTTTACAATGCAAAGATTCAATAGGTTCTTAGAATATATATATATATATATATATATATATATATATATATATATATATATTTATATATAATATATATATTAAATCTGAATATATATATATATATATATATATATATATATATATATATTATACACAGAACTACACTGGATTGTCCAGAGTCCTTGAGCTCCCTCAGTCTGTGTGGTCAGAGGCTCCTGGGCACCGGCCTGGTCAGTAATCCGTCTCTAGTCCACATTTGTTACTGCTGGCATTTGTTATTGTTTATCTTGTGAAAAAACAGACGCAGAGTGTTGTTTTTTTATGGTTTGTTCTGTCTGCTGCTGGCCTCATTGTGCTCTACTGCCCCCACAGTTTATGCTGGTATTGCATCTCATGGACGTGTTGCTTTCGTTTCTGAAGACATGCACAACATGCTTTGAGTGAATGCAGGGCTGCCTTGCTGCGCACAAGTACGAGTATACTGCGGCCCTTGGCCTCTAAAGTAGGGGCTGTCCACACTGTCTGTCTTGGGTGGGGGGACAAAGTGCAGTGTTTGTGCGCTCAGGAACAAAAAGACAAAATAACGAATAAAGAAAGTAGTTTTTTACTACAACATTACACTGTGTTGGGTTACTAAAATATGTCAAAAAGTCATTCAGAGTGGTTTGGTGTGAAATGGTTCAGATTTCTTCACAGTGGTGGTGATAGGAACCAGGGGTCGCCATGACTACAACACAAATATAGACATTTTATTTACTATCCAGAACCACCAGTGAACCTACACGAGTCTTCTGAGCTTTTATATGGAATGTTGATGATGGGAAAATAGTGGAAAATCTGAAATAATAATTTTCCTTGGGGACTATTTTGCCTCACAACACCCTGCATGTATCCCTCCACCATGAATGGATTTGAAAAAAATTCATTTTAGACCAAAATCTTCTCAAAACTCTCTTGAAATAATGTCTCAGACACCAGGCAGTGAATTCATCATCATTTCATGTAGTAACTCTCTCTGAGGGAGCTTTTAGAGGTGGACGTCTGGTTCCTATCACCACCACTGTGAACAGTTCTGACTCTGTAAGTTTCTTTAGAACAGAGCGTTTCACACCAAACCACTCTGAACGACTCTGTTTACATCTAAACCATTTAAATATGTAGAGATTTTGGAAAATCAGTGAAGTTCTAGCTAAAACCTTTAAATATAAGGGTGTCTGGATACATTTGGACATATAGTGTACCAAAATAATGGACATGCAATTGCACCGGCTGCACTCTGAGATATTTATTACTAGAGAAAATGCATTGTTGTATGTGCCAGTGCTCCATCACAGTCCTCGTTTTCGTGTGTTCTGTGTCCTAACGCACCTTATTCAACTCACCCGGTGACTATCAAACCACTCATGTGCTGAATAGAGCATGGTGGGGAACTGCTATACTCTGTAGCCACAGTCACAGTTACACTGCTCTCACACATGCAGTGTCCTCTCTTTTTAACGTATTATAAATGGTCATATATATGCAATATGATTTTGGGCTGTGGCCACAGGTGACAGAACATTTAGTGGGATGGAAGAAGGGTCCCATCTCTTTGGCCCAATCCCATTTCAGTCCTCACCCCTAACACTTAGCCCTTTGCCCTTCACGTCTAGGGGTAGGGTGTCCTGATTCTTGTTGAGATAGAGGGGTAGGGTGAAGTGTTGGGGCTACATGACCCTCCAAACAGATGTTTTTCAGAGACTCCAAACAGAGAGTTATGAGAAAAAATAGAAAAACCGTGAAGATGGAGCAAAGAGACCAAAGAAACCCACAAATGTGAGAATTTTCTCCATTAAAAAATTACGATAACCACTGTATTATCTCAGTTTAATGTTGTTTCACCATATTATGCTCCTTTTCTGTGTAATAAGCATATAAAATCTCACTAATAGTATGCTAATGTCTCTGTAGCTAACTAGCTAACTTTCCCGTTCCACCTTAAATAGTCCAGCAGTTCTCGCGCTTGAAGCGCCAGAATGTAACTGCTGCTCCATTTAAGGTGGAATGGGAAAATTTGAACCAGAAGCTGGTGAATATCTGACTTCAGCTTCTTATCACTGAAGAATTAGGGGTGGGCGATAATAAATAATTGCCCCCCTCTTTGAAGGGCTATGATGCCCTAAATGTAACTAAAGCCCAGCAGTGAGGAGCTGAACTTTACCCTCCTCTGCTGTCACTGCAGACTGGCAGGGTCGCCTACAGAGCAGCGCTGGTAGCTGTTAATGAAGTGATGCTCTTTTTATCTGAGGGTCCCATTTCAGAGGGAAGATTTCAACCACTACCCCTTGTAACTCAGTTCCAAGTGGCAAGGAGACACTCAAAACCAAGGGGTAGGGTTAAAAATAAGAAATGGGACTGGGCCTTTATGTCTCACCTTCTTTTAGAACCTTCACACTTTCATAAACAGTGGATTTACTAAAGTATTCAGAAAACCCCTAGAATGGTGTATTCTGGTGGTGTAAGTGTGTCTCAAAGCGAAGGTAACTGAGGTTTGGTGGTGTAAGAGTTGAGCACAGTTCCTCAAAGGGCTAGTCCTTCACAGACAGTAACACAGCTCTTGTACAGCAGCAAACTCAGGTCTAAGAAATCCTCTTGTTTCTCGTCGTCTGCTGTAGACGTCTAATTAGTTCAGTGCTCATTACTGTGTTCTTTAGATTGGGTTGTTGTTTCTGAGTTTATGGATGTGCAGTGTGCACTGAAATGCATGCAAAGCTGCATTTTGTAAATATCATAGCAGTCTGGTCCTCACAAGTAAACAAATAAAGTTCTCGAATCCAAATGAAGCACAAAGTTCATTTTCAGCTTATTTTATTAACTTCATCACCTGTATTGCTTTGTATGCAAGTTTATCCTGTGTTTGATAATATCGCTGTTGTTGGAAGGAAACCTCATATCTCCAAAATTCTTCATGAGATTTACACCCAATGTAAAGAGCGACATGTATTTTCTAATTATTAATTAAGCAACAACAGCAACAACAATAATAATAATGTTGTTGTTGTTTAAGTAAAAGCAAAACTGATTTTTTTTAAACCTGATCAAAAATTCATGCTGAATGTTGGAATTAGTACATATTATAGCAAATTTGTAAATCAAGATTTCACAACACACTTAAAGGCCCATATCATGGAAAAATCCCTCGCTTTTTTAAATAAAGGAGTTTGAAGCGATATGTAAACGCTGCTAAAGTTTCAGCACGTACTGTTCACTCCATACATACAGCACACTCTTAAAAATGATGGTTCTTCAAGCTTTCTTTAGTCAAGAAAATGGTTCTAGATAGATAGATAGATAGATAGATAGACAGGCAGGCAGGCAGACAGACAGACAGACAGATAGATAGACAGACAGACACATAGATAGATAGATAGGCAGGCAGGCAGACAGACAGACAGATAGACAGACAGACAGACAGACAGATAGATAGACAGACAGACACAGATAGATAGATAGATAGATAGATAGATAGATAGATAGATAGATAGATAGATAGATAGATAGATCACTTTATTAATCCCACAGGGAAAGTCGTCTATTACAGCAGCGCAAAGTACAGTAAAGAGCAAAACAGGAGCAGAGGTATTGCTGTACGCTATTATACAGATGCATAAATAGAAGTAAAGATATATAATAAAATATGCTGAAACAGCCATAAAATAAAATGTGCATTATGAAAATAAGTAAGTAAAATCGCATAAATATTATGCAGGTAACAGTGCAGTGGTGCATGTCATGTCCAGTGAAAGAACCGAATGACTAAACACTGTAAACGATAACGTATGTTACTCAGTGAATGAACACTCAATGATTAAATGGTTCTTTCCATTGTGAAATGGTTCTTCACATTGGCGGAGAATGTATTGTATATGTTACCATATAGAACCTTTATGAAAAGCGTTCTGTATAGCACCAAAAAGGGTTCCACTATTGATACAAGCCAAAGAACCCTAGAACCTTCTGCTAAGATTGAATAGGAAAAATAGACTGTTTTGAACTCATAAAGTTTAAAAGAGAGCAGCCAATTAGAACAGAGCCAGTTTACATATGTTGTTATAGGGCAGAGAAACAAAACAGCCTGTTAAAAGGGCTTAAAAAGTAGTTGGAAAGTGGGCATGTAAAACTGAATTATGACCAGTTCTGGTGCATAAAACCATACAAATGTAAAAAAAATAAAAAAAAAATAAATAAATAAACAGGAGGAGAAAATGAAATGCAAATGTAGGATGTGGGCCCTTTAACTTCATTATTACCTGGTATGTGAGTTTATCATGTGATTTATTAAATAACCTACACTGCACAGCAGATCAAAAGGTGCCACAAATTAGTATGAACTGTAGAACAGTGATGTCTGGAAGTTAATGCTGTCTGTGGAGAGGGGTTAGAATTATAATGTCCTGTGACAATAAGAGAGCCACAAAACTGTCAAGAGGTTAAATTCATGAAGTTTTAGATCGTTGCCGAGGCCTGTTTTCATTTATATCTGTTTATTTACTTCTTTATTTTAGTTTTATTTTAGTTTTTTTCCAGTTACACATTGTTGGCATATATGTTCTGTATTCATGTCCGTGCACTGTGGTTTTAATTTCAGTGTTATGTCTGTAAACACACACACACACACACACACACGTGTCTTAAAAAAAGGTTCCTTCCGCATGCGCAGTATAGCGCTGCGCTGCACTCCTCCACCAGCGGGCGGCGCTGAAAGCCGAGAGCGCGAGCGTCATTTCCTCGCGTTCCTTCTCCTCCTTCCTTTCTCTTTCCCAGCCGCGATGTCTAAGAGAGGTGAGCAGCACTGACACTGAAATCGACTTTAATCCTGCAAATCGGACACAAAAAATCCCACGAAAGGCGCTTTTATCGTAATATTAAGTCCCTCTCTGTCCGATTCTGCGTGTATTTATGTTCGTTTAGTTTTAAAACAGTGAAAAAGCTGTGTGTTGGCGCTAATGGAGGAAAGCAGCTCCGCTTGTTGGTGAAGATGTTCGGACTGTTCGGGGATAAAAGTCGCCCAGCGCGCCGCGCCGCGGGCTGTTATTCCTAAAATAAGTGTAAAGTTAAACGTGTAAGACTTATTTTACTGTTAAAACCCGGAGCTGCCCAGAGCCGGAGCTCCTACAGGACTAGCTAGCCTGGATTAGCCGAGCGGTGTTTCTGAAACGTCGCGTAATATTGCTGTAAGCGTCGAAGGGGAACTCCACCGAATTTTCAAAAGTTACACTTAATTAACTGGTTAAGATGTAAACAGTCGTCCAGAGTGGTTTGGTGTGAAAAGCTCTGTTCTAGAGAAACTTGCGGTGTCAGAATTGTTCACAGTGGTGGTGATAGGGAACCAGACGTCCACCTCTAAAAGCTCCCTCACAGAAAGTTACAACATGAAATGGTTATGAATTCACTGCCTGATGACCGAGACACTGTTTTACGATAGTTTTGAGGAGATTTTGGTCTAAAATGATTTGTTTAAAATCCATTTATGGTGGAGGGATACATGCAGGGTGTTGTGAGGCAAAACAGTCCCCGAGGGAAATTATTTCAGATTTTACACTATTTTCCTGATGCCTGAGTGCTTTTGTGATAATTTTGCTCTAAACGTGTTTGAATTAGTATCTAGAATCCTGACCACTTGATAAAACGCTCATTCTTGTAGTTGGAATGGGATGAACTGAGCATTTGATGGCAGACATTGATGATGTGCTCTTGGCTAGGTTTTCAGAACAGGCCCTGTCCTTGTTTTAGGCAGCCAGACAGTATTGTCACCTTAGTTAGCTGTATTGCTTTGAAACGTGGTTTAGTCCCACCTAAGTCCTTCTTAAAAGCACTTGCTTCGTCTGCTCAGTGGCTGAGTGAGTTGTCGTGGAAGGAAATAGTGAATCCCATTGCTTTTGGGTGAGATGGCAGCGTTACTGACCGTACTGTTCAATCTCAATCGGTGATGGAACAACGTAATATGAAGCTTGTAAATGTGTGCGGTTCAAAAGTGTGAGCTGAAATGTTTTAATCCATTCATAGTAAGGATGTTGAGACAAAATAGTTCCCAAATAGAACTTAGTTTTTCAGATTTTCCACTGTTTTAGCATCATTACATACTAAAAAAATGACGTGTAGGTCCACTGGTGGTTTTGGATAGAAAATAAAGTGGCTGTGCTTGTTATGACCCCTGGTTCCTATCACCACCACTGTAAGGAAATCTGAGTCTCTACAATCAGCCGTTTCACGCCAAACCACTCTGAATGACTTGCATTGCAGTGAAAATTGTAAATATTGGTGGAATTCCTGTTAAAGTTGGATTCTGGTTAAATGGTGAAGTTGTGGTCCAGAGTTTATTTACCTTAACCCAGGGGTGTCAAACTCAACCACGAAAAGGGCCAAATTAAAAATCTCATCAAATCTGTGGGCCAGGGAACAAATGGTTATTTCATTTTTATTTAGTGTTGTGCTGCAACATGAACTGTCTGTTGTTTATTCAAAATATGCAAAATTCAACAGTTAAATAGACACCTTAAAATATTACGTGGACACCTGAAATATTCCAAATGTCAATGTCCCCAGGAGCTCAGTCTTTCAAACCTGCCTATTTGCTTGAACTGGACAGGAAAGGTCATTAAGACTTGGGCTCAACTTCTAAGCTCCTGAATTAATGTTAGGTGTTTATATTCATTGAACTGCAGCTGAAATGTGTTTTGGTGATATGACAGGTGTAGAATTGAGGTGTAACCGCTGTCCCATAGACTGTTGTTGGGGTAGGAAAGTTGAAAGACACATTACCTTGCAGTGCACTGTGGTGCAGCACGTTGTGAAACGGGCTAATAAACAGAAAATTAAAATACTTTTGGGGGCCCGATAGGATTGTATGGCGGGCCTGATGTGGCCCGCGGCCCTTGTTTGACACGTGCCTTAACTATACTATAACTATAGCCAGCTCAGTGTTTGCAAACTCTGCTCACAATTTTTGCTCCATTCAAGCTCCCAACACACCTGAATCAAGCAAGGAGCGAGAACACCTGCAGTTGTTCTGGAAGTTTGGAGAGAGCAAAACGAGGCTGACTCAGAATTCAGTCTTAATTCATTGGAGGTGTAGTTAGTGCTTCTTTAAGTCGGCTGCTTAGTTTTAAATGGGATTTTTGTGTAGTTTGGTCTTCTGAGATGTAAACTGCCATTCAGAGTGGTTTGATGTGTGATGTACTGACTCTGACAATATCCAAAATGACCAGTGAACCTATACCTGTTTTCATAACTTATGATAGTGGTGAACCTGAAATTACTCGCTGTTTGCAAGTCTCTGCCATGGTAGTTGTACATTAGTATTAGACTACAACCTTAAACCGTCTCTATCAGACAACTTATCTGTAACTATTTCATTTTAACTGTAGGCAAGGGAGCTTTTTAATTACATTTATTGCAGTTACTTGTATTAAAAAATCGTGTATCGTGAATTACACTAAATTGCCAGTTTATTGGGTACATCTACCTTGTACCTGCTCATTGGCCATTTTATCAGAAACACCTACCATATAAGGGCCCTTCGGAATTTAGTTATTGACAGAAATCTGAGTGATTAAGTGTTTTTGCGTGAATGAGTTAAAAGACTGTTGATCTCTTTCAGGACGTGGTGGATCATCTGGAGCCAAGTTCCGCATCTCACTGGGTCTCCCAGTGGGAGCGGTCATCAACTGCGCTGACAACACAGGTATGGCATCCTGACCGTTTGATAAAATGCCCATCCTTGTTGCACATATGTGGTTGGGATGGGATGAACTGAGCATTTGATGGTGAACATTTTTCAAACTAGGTTTTCAGAACCGGCCCTGTTCTTGTTGTAACACAATTTTATGCAGCCAAACAGTGTTTTTATCTTAGTAAGCTGTATTGCCTTGTTTATTCCCCCTTAACTCCTTCTGAAAAGCACTTGCTTCGTCTGCTCAGTGGCTGAGTGAGTTGTCGTGGAAGGAAATAGTGAATCCCATTGCTTTTGGGTGAGATGGCAGCGTTACTGACCGTACTGTTCAATCTCAATCGGTGATGGAACAACTTAATATGAGGCTTGTAAATGGACGCAGTTTAAAACTGCGAGTTCACATTCATAATAAGCTGAAATAATGGTGTATATTTGAAATCTACTTGTCAGAGTGGTTTGTAATGTCCGACCCATGTTCTCCTTGTTAGGTGCCAAGAACCTGTACATCATCTCAGTCAAAGGCATCAAGGGTCGTCTGAACAGGCTCCCTGCCGCAGGTGTGGGTGACATGGTTATGGCCACTGTGAAGAAAGGCAAACCAGAGCTCAGGAAAAAGGGTAAGTGTGCTCTGCAAAGGGAAGAGTGGAGAGCACAAACTGGTTCACAACTACAGGGGAAAAGCGTTCTGATCTGGGATTGTTTTGAAGTGAATTGGTGTAAAGATGACCGCAGCATGGTCCTACACCAGTCGTTCTCTGAACTCTTGCTGACTGTCATGGAAAAAAAATACCTCCGCAGCTTTGCTCTTAACACAGACATAAAGATAAAACTCAGAACACCAGGATTGGCAGGAAAAGGCAGAGTTCTTTAAAGATTAATGAATTACGGCATCGAGTGTTGATCTTGAGTTGGCACAATTGATGAATCCACAAAAAACATCCATGCTTTTTATACATCAACGCCTGGCTCCTCCTTGCCCTTCCAATATATTTCAAACTTTTTGTTTTGCGCACCATTATGTCCAAATGTCACAGCTATTTTTACCACCCATATTTCTAAACCAAGAAGTAATATATTGTTTAAATTGTTGAAGGCCGAGGCCGCTCGAAGGGGCCTAAGCCTTCAAGCTTTACTTGCTTAATTTATTACGTTTGGATTTGCTTTTTTAATATATTTCTGCTACTTATGTACTTTTTCCTCTTTCCCAATGTTAATTTTTAATGTTTCTTATATAAACAGACTTTAGCTGTTTGTCTCAGGTCACAGCCGACGCCTTGAGGCCGCTCAGACAGAGACACAGCTGAACTGCTCATCCACCATATAATACTTCTATATGAATAGTTATGGTTCAATTCATCGTTGGAAAAATCTTTTCATATTATCCAAAAACTGTCACATGACCCTGGTGTACTGTGGGTACTACTAAGAGTGTAACGATTGACATTCATAATTCAGTACGATGGTGGTGTCGATTCAGTACAGTTTCAAGTTCCTAAGTGTGCCGTATGTTAATATTATGCTAATATTTCCATTTTCAGTTTATTATCGCATTGTACGTTATTCAAATCTGTTCACTCTGTTCTCTTCATAATGCTAAACAAAAACCAATCTAATGTTCTAGGTGCCAGTTAATTCCTTAGCTCCTAGCTAGCCTGCTATGAGCTAACATTAGCCTTGGGCTAACACACTAGCTAAGATACACCGGCACAGTACAAAGATGCGTAGTAGTTCAACACAATATGCTTAACTGCTTAATTTTCTTAGTCTTATTGTGAAAGTCAGGAGCGTCATAGTCTCCAGCAAAAGTCTGGTTCCATTGACTTACATTGAAAGTAAAGTAGGTTTTTTCCTTCTCCAGTAAAGTTGCGATTTTGGAGATATTAGGTTTTGTTCTGAGAACAGCGATATGTGATATTTTAACCCCTGTATATCTTGCACCTCTTTTTATCTACCCAAGACTCACCAATCTGCGCAAATGGAAATGTGTACATCTGTAAATATAATAGCTTTTATTTAATAACTTGCTTAAAAAAAAAAACTGTACACTTGGAAAATGGTGCAATACTCATGTATATAAAGGTTATTTTTTGAGGCAGGGACCACAAGCCTAAGATTTTCACTCAACTGCACGCCTGTGTACATGTCGATGTGCTCATAATGACTTGAAATTTAATTCAGAATTTGTTCTAAAGCATTTTCACATCAGATTCATAATTGTAGTTTTCACATATCGCTGTTGTTGGTTAAAAAACCTTGTATCTCCAAAATGGTAACAGGAAAAGGAGAAAACCTGCTTTACTTTTAATGTAATTTATGAGATGAAAGTGTCCGTTTCAGGTGTCCGGGGTCATCGAAGATGCTGCGTTCTGGTTCCGTCTGTCAGTTGTATCCAGTCTTCAGTGCTGAAGGACTGAGAGTCAATGGAACCAGACTTTTTTTCCAAGTCATTTTGGGCCGTTTCTTTTGGTCCATTCATCATGAAACTTACACACAATGTAAAGAGCAACAGGCATTTTCAAATTGTCAAAAACTGAAAAGCAAAAATGATGCGTGGTTTTCTTCCGACATCAGCGATATGATCGTTTACAGCAAACCTGTCTGTGTCCTTAAAAATGAGGCCCTAAAGTTGGAGAAACGATGCTATGTTAAAGGAAAAATACAGACTTGCTTTAGATGACTGGTTATTTATTAAAACTGTTGTGATTATAATCAGACTATAATTAATATTGTATGTGTTTGAGTAGACGTTCCTGCCGCGGAACTGAGAATTAAATATATCCCTTTGTGTTGCAGTGCATCCTGCGGTGGTGATACGACAGCGGAAGTCATACCGGCGAAAAGATGGCGTGTTCTTGTACTTTGAAGACAATGCTGGGGTCATAGTGAATAACAAGGGGGAAATGAAAGGTGAGCTATTGGATGTGTGTGTTGAATCTCCTTCTGAAAAGCACTTGCTTCGTCTGCTCAGTGGCTGAGTGAGTTGTCGTGGAAGGAAATAGTGAATCCCATTGCTTTTGGGTGAGATGGCAGCGTTACTGACCGTACTGTTCAATCTCAATCGGTGATGGAACAATTTTTTAATAGTGTGTCCAAACAGGAACGTCTCAGAATATTTGGTCAGTGTATTTATTGAGGTAAACAGACATGAAGGAAAAAAACTTAAAGGAACAGTGCAGCCCTTTTTCAGCCTGATAACCAACTCTTCTGTCTGTATTGTTAGCAGTTTTATTGTACCGTCGATTCCCTGAGGCATTCATTTTGAGAACCCTCCGTACATTGATCAGTTGCTGTACATTTAATACCCGACCCCTGATTTATTTTCAGTTTTCAAGATGATTTCGGCAGCTGTTGTTCACCTTCTCTTGTTTTCTCTTTGCCAGGCTCGGCCATCACGGGACCCGTAGCCAAGGAATGTGCAGATCTGTGGCCCAGGATTGCTTCAAACGCTGGGAGCATCGCATAAGTTCCAGCCTGGCTTCATATTTTCAATAAAATATTGATAAAGTCCACCACTGTGTCTGACTGTTCGGTTTGAAGACGATGCCCCCGGTTTAGCATATTACCAAAAGGACAGTCTCTTCTTAAAATTTGATTGGCTGAGCCAGACGGCTAACAGGCCTCACTGATGTCACAGGCTTTGAATTAAAGAGTGACGAACAAAGGAAGAGAATGTTGAAATCATAGATATACATACCTAGATGCCACGCTGGGTCCAGCCAGGCACGTCAACAGCGCCGTCATTTTAGGGCGGTCAACATTACTGCTGGACTGCATTCAGTACCATTACAGTGTGGCAGTTTAAGAAAGATACTGTCCGAAATTACAATATTCCAAGAATATTACACTCAGAAAGTGGGATAGGATTATATAATGGAGGGAAGTGACCACACTCATGTTTGTGTAGATATGGCCGTGTGGTTGGTGAGGCACAGAGAACCTGTTGATGTGATTGTTTTTCCTCTGATTTTATATTAAACTTGTTTCATTTAATGTTAAGGCATCTTAACATTATGTAGTTATTTATTTACAGTGATGTTTAAAGCTTTAGCTAGGTAGTATAGCATTCTTAATCCAGGTAGATATTCATAATAGATTAACGTCAGCACTTTCTTATATAAACCTGAAGTTGGCTTCTTATTCCACCTTAAATGGTGCAGCTTCAGGCACCAGAAAGTGACTGCTGTACTATTTAAGGTGGAACAGGGGAAACTCGAGCAAGAAGCTGGCGAATAGGAAGCCAACTTTGGCTTAATCATCTTTCTTACTGTGTTTTGGGTTTTTTTATTTTCATGTGTATTAAGATTAGAAGTGATTCATACACATTGATGGATCTGCTGATGTGTGTGAGTGTGTGTTTTTACTCGCGCTAAACTCGGTTTTTAAGGTCAGGTGCAGGCTGAATACTTCCTGCTGGTCCAGACGGCTAATTATCACGATCAGTTATTAATGAAGTAAAAGCTACCGAGAGCAGATCCGCGCAGCCTGGATTAATCTGTGTCTGAGGATTATAACAAAACAGATTTGGTGAAAATCGGTTGAGTAATAAGGAAGTTGTGGCCGATTTAATCCTGAGACTCTTCATCTCTCAATACAAGTGAATTTGTTCACGAACGGATCTTGACCTCTCCAACATGGCGGATGCGCAGACGTATCGCCTCAGAGCAACAGGCAACGCGGCGTCTAGATATGTTCATGGTTAAAACACAGGTGCTTCTGTAGAGCTAGAACAGCTGCGAAAAATGTCCAGAATACTGGACGTTTGGAACAAGGGGGTTATGTCCACTCTTAAAGATTGTTTAAGGGTTTTTAGTTACAAAAACTGTTCTTTATAGAACCATAAACGCTCAAAGAACCCATTGCATGATTAAAGGGCTCTTTGCATCATGACAGGGTTCTTCAGATTCATGGAAAATGTGCTGTAGCTGTTTCCATATAGCACTCAAAAGGGTTCTTCTATTGTTACCATGTCAATCTTGTAACAATAGAAGAAAAAGGTTCTATATATAATCATCTATAGCACATTAATGCATTTTCACATCAGTCTGAAGAACCCTTTCATGATGCAAAGAACCGTTGTTCTTGGTTCTATGTAGAACCATTTCTTTTAGTAAGGAGCCCTTGAAGAAAACAACAAATAAAACTAATGGTATAGGTGCAACGTGGCACGGAACATAAGGCCAATTTAGTTTGTTCACCGTCAGAAACCTGATCCACACCAGATTTCAGAGTCGCGCTGATGGTCTTTTTGTGCTCCTCCACTCATTCATGCTGATCCTTTGGAAGAGCTCTAAGGAACCCTGAGCTCTAAGGATCCCAGGACACCTTCTCTGAGACGTACGCTTCCTTGGTTTGAGAAAAGCAGCTCTCTTGTTTGGGGTCACACCTTTAATCATGATGTCCAGCGAGCTCTCTGGTTTCAGGTGAACAAGAGCTGCAGCTTGGGATAAAGTGGACCTCGTCACTTGCCTGGAGATGGACTTTGGTGGCTAGGGCTTCATAAAAACATCTCACTGGAAACGACGTTCTGGTTCTGTAGCCAGAACCCTACATCTCGGACCTCAATATGGGTAGAATCTGCCTCAGTATAGGTGTAATCTGCCTCAATGTGGGTGGAACCATGGTCAAAAAGGGATTTGTGAGTGAAAAGGGATCAAAAAACCCTCAACCAATTGAAGGGTTCTTCCTACACATTTAAAAAAGATGGGCTCTTTTGTAAAGAAAATGGTGAGTTCTATATAGAACCATCTCATGATTAAATGGTTCTTAGCGTGTTGACATTGTCCTTCAGATTGATGGAGTATGTGGTTCTACATAGCATCAAAAAGAGTTTCGTAGCGCCAAGGTTTACTTTCCCTCAACTTGGCAACCCACCCCTAGCGGTTGCCATAGCTACCAGTCGGTTTATGAGTGCAGAGCTAACCAGCTCACTAGCCGCCGGTTTGGTTCAGTAACGTTACACACCAAAAACGCTCTACCAAGCTCTGTAATTAAAGGTTTATTTTAATAAAGTTGATCAGACATGGACAGGAGGGAGATTATCGATTTCTCAGCGCTGGAGAGAGAGCTGCAGGCTGCGGTGGAAGCCGATAAAAAATACCAGCGAGAAAACGATGCTAAATTCCGCGCCATCCACCAAAAAGTGGCGACATACGAGGAATTCAGGTAAAAACAGGCTTTTTTTTACTGCTTCAGTATCGACTTTAACTGCTGTTTAACCTCAGCTTGCTCATGTGTTCTGTTTCTAACCGATACGAAGTTAAAGTTGGCTTCTTCTTCGAATTTTCCGTTCCACCTTTAATAGTGCAGTAGTTACATTCTGGGAGCTGAGCCGCCGCAATGTAACTGCTGTACCATTTAAGGTGGAACGGAAAATTCCTAACAAACCAACCTCAACTTCGTCTAAACGACAGTATCTACTGCACGAATGTACACTTCTTAAAAAAAAGATGGTTCTTCAAGGGTTCTTTAGTAGAGAAAACAGTTCTATATAGAACTAAGAACACCCAAAGAACCGTTTGCATGATTAAAGTGTTCTTTGCACCGTTAAAGGGTTCTATATAGCAACCAAAAGGGTTCTTCTTTTGTTACGATGTCAAGCTTGTAACAATAGAAGAACCCTTTTTGGTGCTATATAGAACCCTTTCCAAAATGTTTCCATATAGAACCATCTACAGCACATTCTCCATCAATCTGAAGAGCGCTTTACGATGCAAAGAACGCTTTAATCTTGCAGAGGGTTCTTTGGGTGTTCATGGCTCTATATAGAACCATTTTCTTCCCTAAAGAACCTTTGAAGAACCATCATTTTTAAGTGTGTAGATTTGTGTTCACAATGGCAACCCAAGCTCTATTCATTTTCCTACATGACTGGAAACAGATTGTTCTTAACCTGGGTGTTATATTTTAGGGACATAGTTCTGGCATCCCACCTAAAGCCCTTGGATAAAAGGGATAAAGCGGAAGCTCCTCGGAAGCAGCCGTGGAATTCAGTGGCTGCAGGCCGTACGGAGAAAACAGGCCCCACACCTGAGATGGTACAGGTGAGTCAACAGGTGAGTCGAACAGGAATGAGCAACAACTAAATACAAACAAATAATAACAAATTACAAAAAAGAAATGTTTTTAGGACATTTTATACATTTTATATTTTTACTAAACGACCTACACACTTAAAAAGTTCAGTGGTTCTCTAATAAAGGCAATGGTTCTACTCAGAACCAGTAACTCTATATAGAACCATTTGCATGCTGAAATGGTTCTTTTCATGGTGAAATGGTTCTTCGGATTGACAGAGAATGTGTTGTATATGTTTCTATATAGAAACTTTTGGAAAACGGTTCTATGTAGCGCCAAAAAATGGGTTCTGCTATTTTTTTATGATGTCAGATACAATAGAAGGACCCTTTTTGGTGCTGCATAGAACCATATACAACACATTCTCCATCAGTCTGAAGAACTGTTTCACTGTGAAAAGAACCATTTAAGCATGCAAATGGTTCTATATAGAACCATTGCCTTAACTAAAGAACCCTTGAAGAACCATCTTTTAAAGTGTGTAGGTACTGTTAGCGTGACCACTAATACAAATATATTAAGAATAATATTTAATTGTTATTATTATTGCATATTAGCAGCAGTAATAACTGAGTTAATTTCACAGATATGATTACTTCCTATGTATTTATTTATGTAGTTAGTAGGTCTATATAGAACTCATGGTTCTAACAAGAACCATTTACTGTTAGCAAGACCACTACTACAAATAATAATAATAATAATAATAATTTGTTGTTATTATTATTATTATTATTATTATTATTATTGCATATTAACAGCAGTAATAACTGTGTTATTTTTACAGATATGATTACTTATTTAGTTCGTTAGTTAGTCGTTCTATATACAACTCATGGTTCTAAATAGAATAATTTCATTTACTAAAGAACCCTTGAAGAACATATAAGTGCATAGGTACAATTACTACAAGTACTATGACAAATAACAATAATAATAATAATAATAATAACAATAATGATAGCTTATTATTACTGCATGTTAGTAGTCGTAATAATAGAGTTATTACTACAGTTATTATTACTTCCTATTTATTTATGTATTTATTTATTTATTATTAATATGAGGCTTGTTTGTTTTCTTTCTTTCTTTCTTTCTTTTATTTTTGTTCTTTTAGTCTCCGCTGTCTGACTTCCAGCCAAGGACTGCGTCAGAGTTCATGCGCGACTGGCGCAGGTTTGGAGGAGGACCGCTAGAGAAGTACGGTCTCCTCCTCAGGCTGGGTGGGGACGTTCTGCAGGGCCTCTTCAGTGCCGAGGTTGGCTTTGGTCTTCTGGGAGAGTTCCTAGTCCTCCTCGCTCAGTGTCTCCAGCCGGGGGATGAGGCGGCAGTGACTGGACTGCTGGAAGGTCTCTCAAAAACTGGCCGTTTTGGTCTAAACGTGTCCCTCCTGAGCCAAGCTGAGCAGGAAGCATGTAAGAGTCTGTTCTGCAGGCTGTGGGATACGGTTGGAGGGCCCTGTCTACCTAATCAAACCCCCTCTGTGAACTCTGAGGATCAGAACCAACCTTCATTTCTTTCTGAGGCATCTGAAACACAGCAGCGTGAGACTGAGGCTGCAGGAAGACTCAGATATCTGATGGAAAGGTTTGGCATTTGTGAGACTGAATCATAAGCAGTTGTTTCACTACATGTGCCCAGTTTTCTGTATGAAAATACCCTTTAAAGTCAACATTTGGGGAAAAATTGTACTCGAACAGTTTTGCTTTTTCAGTTTTGCACTGGAAATACAAAGCAAACGTACTGTAGCTTACAAGTGATACACCCCACCCTTTTCATTGAATCTGTGTGAGATATTTAGTGACTGTTATATGGATAGCGTGCCGTACTTGGCTGACATTACCATAGAGTTGTCCTGCCACTGTAAGCCAGAGGAGGCGCTCTCAGTAGGGATTTGAGGGAAATTATGTACATCTTGACAAACTGTCGATCTAACCCCCTAAATTCCAGGCTTATTATTAAGTTATTAAAGCAATACGTCCGCTTTTTTAGCCTATATATATCTATATATGCTGCATATGCAGCATGTGGTTGATTATTACAGAAAACCTGCTGACTCGAAAAATACTCTTAATAAAAGCCTATAGGCATGTGAGTCAGCCTATTTCAGCACCCTCCCATTCATTTCTAGTGCAACTGTATTTTGAGTCAGTGTGCTCCATGAAATTACTGTCTGTGGTAACTGACTGTGTTCTACAGATTCAGATACAGATTAAGCTGAAAAACACTGGAGTACTCCTTTAATCTTCAAGCGTATTATTCAGTAAGGGTTATGAATTATTCAGTTTCTGCTATGAATAATTCAGCATCTACTATGACTGATTCAGTTTCTGCTATGAATTATTCAGTATCTACTATGAATTAGCCCTGCAATAGACTGGGGATCTGTCCAGGGTGTTTCCTGCCTTCCGCCCAATGACTGCTGGGATAGACTCCAGCTCCCCCTGCGACCTAGAAGGATAAGTGGCTTAGAAAATGTGTGTGTGTGTGTCCTATGAATTATTCTTTATCTAATATGAATTATTCAGTATCTACTACAAAATTATTCAATATCTACAATGAATAATTCAGTATCTACTATGAATAATTCAGTATCTGCTATGAATAATTCAGTATCTGCTATGAATGATTCAGGAACTGCTATCTGACTAATGTAAGTTATAAGAATGAGGAGTCTGTACAGAAACTTACATTTTAAGAGGTTAAGAATTCAGTTTAAGTACAAGTGTCCACTGTGTTCATTTTAAAGGGGAATTCTACCAATTTTTCAAATTTTTGCAAAACTCAGTCTTTAAGACATAAACCAAGTCATTCAGAGTGGTTTGGTGTGAAACGCTCCATTCTAGACAAACTAGAGTCAGAACCAGACGTCCACCTCTGAAACCTCCCTCACAGAAAGTTATTACATGAAATGGTTACATATATTTTATATGATTTTGTAAAACATTTTTGGCTTAAAAAGTATTTGAATTCATTTTTTAATCCATTCATGGTGGAGGGATACATGCAGGGCACTGTGAGGCAAAATAGTCCCCAAAGAAAACTTATTATTTCAGATTCTTCACTATTTTCCATCATCAACATTTAATATAAACTCAGAAGACTCGTGTAGGTTCACTGGTGGTTTTGGATAGTAAATAAAATGTCTATATTTGTGTTGTAGTCATGGCGACCCCTGGTTCCTATCACCACCACTGTAAAGACATCTGAACCATTTCACACCAAACCACTCTGAATCTCTCTGTTTAAGCTGGAATTGCACTGAAATTTTGAAAAAGTGGTGAAATTACCCTTTAATGTAAGACCCAGTTCACAACCACAATCAAATGTTCTTCATAACATCACAATGGGAGAATATCGCCATGGTTACAGCCAGCACACAATAACAATGTACCACATCAGCATTTTACAAGGTGACTGAAATGTTTCACTGGCCACTGTTTCTCCTGTCCGTTTGGACACTGTGCCTGTCTTTATTAACAGCCTATCAGGCCCCTGAAGACAAGGAGGACATCTTCACCAGCAGAGCATGTCCTGCGTTCCTCGTCTTCGACAGCGTGGCGTACCCGGCTGATATGACCATAGAGTTGCCCTGCCACTGTAAGCCAGAGGAGGCGCTCTCAGTCGTGTGGTACTACCAGAAACATCTCGGCACTCAGGACACCAGAGTGCTGACTGACTTTGCCGGCACTGCCATCGTGGATTCGTCCAAAATTGGTAGAGACTCGGATTTGCGTGGACGATTTTCCATCCGTTTGTTCAGCCTTATCGTCTTCCGGGTGCAGGAGGACGACTCTGGTCATTATATCTGCGGCACAGCTTCGGGGGAGTTCTTCTACGGCTACGATGTGGACGTCCAGGTGGTCCGCCAAGTGTTGTTTTCTTGGAACCTTGTTCGGAGAAATGAAACGAAACCTTCTGAAGATGATAGCAGCCCAAATAAACCTTTCCAGGTGTTTGCCAGTCACTGGCCGTGGTCCGTGTGCGATCGCTGTGGCGTGAGAGGCGAACAGACGCGAGTTGGACTTTGCTATGTCGTGAGCGAATACCTGCAGGTGAGGTATCATCGCAAGTCAAGCAACGTGACCTCTTGCGGTTCCTCTGCGGTTCCTCTAAGCTTTGGGCTAGCTAACAGCGGCTATGGAGCAGAGCTTGTGGTGAGAGATTGCCACACTCCTTGCCCACCAAAACGTGCAATGGTCAGCCCGGAGAAGAAGGCCCTGCTGGACTTCCTTGGCTACGATGACCCGAAATCTCCAGGACTTTCTGTTTACTACCATAACCATCCGGTCGAATCAGATCTCGTGCTTTCCTGCCCTGGGATGAAGCCCCAGCATGCAGTGGCCTGGGATAAAGGCTCCACTCCGCTTTACCGTTCTCGGTTCATGGAGGGGTTGAATCAGAGCTCGCGTTTGTTTATAGACGTGGGTCACCACCTGCACATCAGACCCGTCCGTCTGAAGGATAAAGGCACCTACTTCTGCTGGATCCAAGGCAAAAAAGCAGCACAGATCAAACTCGGAGTGTACTCACGGCTGGGCCGGATGCGCAGAATCTCTGACCCGGAGTCTATCTTCGCCGTCAAGGCCATCCTGGTCATCTACGCGCTCCTCACTGCTGTGTTTCTGCTCATTATATCGCTCAGGTTCATGTGGAATGTTAGCAAGGAAGGAAGGGCCTCGTATTGAGAAATTACTCAAAAAATTTTTTGTTTTTCTAATAAACATATTTGCATCTCCTAATATAATGAAATTTCTTTGGTGCTTTTACGAGTGTGTCTCATAATATCAGCTGGATAGTAGGGGAGCGCGAGGAATGGCCTAACATGGGGCACAATTTAACACACACTTCTTATGTTTTAGAAGGTCAAACAACATGTGCTTTTGGCCACATTACCACATTTTCTAGCCCTGACCTCCCACCAAATTTCAGAGCGATTGGTCAGTGTTCTGAAGAGATCTGAGCCAAAGAGTTTTTTCAGGGCATGTAAGCCAGTCAAGTCAGCAAGTACACATTACTGTAATCCCCATCTTGTTGCCTATAATGCTGCAGCATGTAGTTCTTTATAGAACCTTTTGAAAATGGTTCTGTATAGTACCACACAGAATTATACTGAATTAACTTTGTTTGCCCTGATTGACCAGACTTTTCTACCAGGTGTTAAACTGACCCTCTGTCTGTTACAGTGAACCCACTCACGGGCTAAACTGGAACACTGCGCTTCCCGTCATTTTGGGTGGCATTGCACATGAATAGTAGGAGCCAGTAAATAAAATGTCTATATTTGTGTTGTAGTCATGGCGACCCCTGGTTCCTATCACCACCACTGTAAAGGCATCTGAACCATTTCACACCAAACCACTCTGAATCTCTCTAATCACATCTCGAACACTGAGATTTTGAAAAGTTGTCACTTCTTAACAGGATCAGTCGCTCCCTGCGCCCTATCTGGATATATTTGTGGGGTTTGCTGAGGAGGAAGCAGGGCAGTGAATCAAGACCATTTTAGCCACTAAATTCCACCCTGAAGACAGCTGAGACAGCGGGTTCATGAACTTCAAGCAAGGCTCACTAGGGGGCGCTCTGATATCAGTCCAGCGCAGCAGGAGAGCAAGGCCTCATTACAGGCCCATCATGCACTACAGCTTTTTTAGCTTTTAGCTTTTAATCTTGATATCAGTAATTCAGTTTGAACAAGTAAAAACTCGTCAATATCATATATAACAAACTGTAACAAGCCAAAATTCAGCTTTAACGGAAATGAATGTAAGATTTCAGTTCTCAACAAGAATTCATGTTTTTTGCCAGTTTGTTTATTTATTTATTTATTTATTTATTTATGTATTTAGGCCATTCTCCAGTAGAAATAATTTTTTTTTTATTTCATCCCAAAACTAAATAATCTTAATATGTCCATTAACATCTCCTATTATCATATATGCAGAAAGGAGAGCTTAATTCAAACATATGTTACAGTCACTGGTGTTGTATAAATATGGTGTAACACCAGTGACGGTGACTCCAGTGACTTTCTGGTTAAAACTGAGGATTCTGTAAATTGGCTGACTCATTGGTGATCAGGTGACCTTCTTCATTTAAAATCAGTAATAAAAATGATATACGTCATTATTTTGACTAAATTTTAATTACCCTGCTATCGAAGCACAAAACACCAGTGACACAAGTTCTGAGCTGCCTGATAAACACAATTATTAATAAATTAATGAAATATAGTGAGCGAGTGTGACTCGCCTTCTCCTGCCTTGAGACGCTTCCTCTCTGATGAGCCTCGACCCAAAGAAGCAGTTTAATAGAGCTGAAAATACTGTTAAAATGTAAAATAAGAGTCCTGATAAGAGTCAGCAGTGACCACAATCTCTGTGACAAATGAATTTTTTGAATAAAATACATATATTTTTAAATGTAGTTTAGTGTTAATGATATATAAAGTTATCATGAATCTGTTTTATACAAATTCCAAAGTTAAACCTCTTAAAAATATTGTTTTATATTAAATATGGTTGAAAATCGGTTTTGTGATGAGCTGTTTTACAGATGCAGAGCGACTAATAAACAGGATAAGAAAAGAAAATTCAGAGAATCATAAAAGAAAAGAGTTATTTAATCTCAGGTCGACTGTGTAAATGTTCATACTGACTTTTGGAGCTGTGCCTCATATTTTAATCATCTTTTTAAGCCCTGGTTTCCAACTGCAACTGGAGAACGACCCACTAGTCTGTAGGCTGTACTGAGTGAATATTCACAGATAAAAACTAAAGCTTGAAATCCTAATTATTACATATTCAAGTTAATTTATTACAAATTGAATTGCAATTGTTTCTATTCCTGCTTGAACTGATTGAACTTAATTAGCATTTCAACGTGACAGAATATTTACCTGGTAGAACAGAATCTCTGGTGTGAGGCTGCAGGGCTCCCTCTACTGGCCACAGGCTGTACTGCGTTATCGTGTTACTTTCAGGGTCAAATATGAAAGCAATACAGTCCCTCACTGCTCTGTGTGAGCTGACAGAAAGCTGTGTTAATAAGGAAATGAATAAAATGCGATTATTTTTCTGAAACACTTGCTTGGGTCACATTATTGAAGAAGAATAAACAACACCAGGCGCGCTGTGTGTCTTGGTCAGTGTGGTGGCAGTTATAACAGCGTCGATTCACATCAGCAGTGCACAGAACTCAAACCCTGCAACATAAACAGGGATATTGCGCAACCCCTTCAGTAGGCTAGCAGGCTGTGTGGAAGAAGAAGTAGATTAGATTGCACTTTCCTTTCCCCACCGACAGACTTCTGCTTCGACAGTGAACAGGGAACTGAAGTGTGCTTCTTATTTTTATTTATTTATTTTATTTTTTATTTTGAATGATATTTAAACAATCATGTGCAGGGGTTGCTGATTAAACATACAGGTGAACCTGTTCAAATGAAAGGGCGGTACATCCTGGACATCCACACTTAAATAACAAAGTAAAACCAAATTAAAAATGAGATAAAAATAAACTGGAAAAGTGCATTTCATGAAGAAAATGCAGAGCGACTGCACAGCCTAATGGCCTATTTTAGGTGGTTGCTAGGGTGTTGCTATGTAGTTGCTATAGTTCCCAGGTGGTTGCTAGGGTGTTGCTATGGTATGCCAGGTGGTTGCTAAGTGGTTTCTATGGTATCCCAGGTGGTGGCTAAGGTGTTGCTAAGTTGTTGCTATGGTACCTCAGGTGGTTGCTAAGATGTTGCTGTTGTATGCCAGGTAGTTGCTAGAGTGTTGCTAGTTGGTTGCTATGGTATCCAAGATGGTTGCTAGGATGATGATAGGTGGTTGCTATGGTATTCCAGGTGGTTACAAGGGCGTTGCTAAGTGGTTGCTATGGTATCTTAGGTGGTTGCTAGGATGTTGCTACGGTATGCTAGAAGGTTGCTAGGGTGTGGCTATTGTATGCCAGGTGGTTGTTAGGGTGTTGATATGGTATCCCAGGCGGTTGCTAGGGTGTTGCTAGTTGGTTGCTAGGGAATCCCAGGTGGTTGCTAGGGTGTTGATAGGTGGTTGCTATGGTATCCCAGGTGGTTGCTAGGATGTTGATAGGTGGTGGCTATGATATCCCAGGTGGTTGCTACTGGCATGGTTAATAGGGGTTGTTAATGGACGTGTCCTATCATAACAGAAGCTGGGTGCACAAAATATTTTTCAAAAAGGTTTTACAGAGAACCATGTACAACACGTTCTCCGTCAATCTGAAGAACCATTTCACCATGCAAACAACACTTTAATCATGCAAAGGGCTTTTTGAGTTTCCATGATTCAATACAGAACCATTTTCCTTCCTAAAGAACACTTAAAGAACCATCTTTTTAAGGGTGAATGACCTTATAAATCATAAAGATTCCAGTTCACTGCAGAAGAGCATATAATGAGGAACCAACACCATCACTCTGGATTTGTGGATATGAAATCTGCCCAATAAGGTTAACAGTTTCATAGCCTCAGCTGTTTCGACTTGAATTAGTGTCACTGTTTAGGAAGCGCTCTCTCCCGCCCCCTAGCGGCGCCTATAGAAAAACACACCCACTCAGAAGCAGCCAGAGGGCTTTCCGGAGTTGCTCTTTGCACCGTGCGTCGCGATGAAGGACCAAAACTGCTCCGAAGAAGTGGCCAAGATCCTCCAAGAGGCTCCCACCGCTCGGCAAGCGCTTCTGGACAACTACAACAACCTGCACAATGTGGCCAAGTACTGCGAGGACAACTACTTTAAGGTGAGGAGCTTCCTGCGTTCTGCTGTGGCTCAGGTTCAGCCTGAAGGTTCGTGTTAAAGGGGAATTCCACCGAGATTTTCAAATTTCCGTATAAATTCAGGGGTGGAGGTATAAACGAAGTCATTCTGAGTGGTTTGGTGTGAAACGGATGTCTTTACAGTGGTGATGATAGGAACCAGGGATGTCAGCAATGCAAATAGAGCTTTTATTTACTATTCAAAACCACCAGTTAACCTACACGTGTCTTCTGAGCTTTTGTATGGAATGTTGATGATGGGGAAAATAGTGGAAAATCTGAAAATATAAGTTTTTTTGGGGACAACTTTGCCTAAATATATCCATCCACTATGATTGGATTAAAAAAAGATTCATTAAAATATGTTTAGATCACAATTTTAACACAAAACTACTGTTAAACAGTGTGAATTCATAACCATTTCATGTATAACTGTCTGTGAGGGAGCTTTTAGAGGTGGACGTCTGGTTCCCTATCACCACCACTGTGAACAATTCTGACTCTGTACGTTTCTCTAGAACGGAGCATTTCACACCAAACCACTCTGATGCCAAAATTTTGAAAAATTTGTGGAGTTCCCCTTTGATGCAGTGTATGGGCCTAAACCCATACTTGAGTAAAAAAAAACATCCTCCAGATCTTCTTAGTCCATCCAGCGCCCATCAGCGGAGGAACTGACGTCTATCAGACTCTTTTTCGACCCTTTTTGGTTTAATATAAAATAACAAGGCCTCAAAGTGAGCAAAGTGACCACAGAATGAAATTAAACCCCTCAACAGAATTAGGAACTAAACGCTGAGGGAACTGAGCAGGACGCTGATCACTTTCTGCAACCTATACTTGTGTATAAGTAAAATATTTGAAACTAGAAGAGCACAAATCCTTAACATTTTCTCTTGATTGATATAATTGCAAATAATTGAGTTTAAAGGAATAGTCCACCAAAAAAAAATTTCCCTTACATCAAACGTAGTCGATCAGCGAAGGCACAATAATGCAGGTCTATTTTCTTTAACTTCCATTACTTATTAGACACATTAGCCTCATATCTCCAGTCGGGCTGCTTCTGAACATTTGAGGGCCTTAAGTGACAGCCCACCCACCCCAGCTGGTTTATATGCAAAGACATAAAAGAGTTCATGTTTTCAGTAAAAGGGTATTAAAAGCGAAAGAGAATAAAACAACTCTATACTGTATTCTATGTACTTTGAAATATCATTCAAACACTTTCCCCAGAGCATGTTAATGAGCGCAACAGCGCCCCCTGCTTTACGCTTTGCCTTCACAAGATGTTGGATTGGTTTAGAAATTTGACTTTTATTTGCTCCTACCTGCATTTTCTCATGGTTGTCCCCAGATGTTCTTGTTAGAGAGCACATCTGGACCTGCGGGGTGGACAATACGCTGATATTTTATCATTATCGTGATAAATTGTCACAATATGTTTTTCTGAGCACATCGTCGATATCGTCAGTACTGAAACAACACTGACCAGCCGCATGTTTCGTTATAAACTGAGCATAAATAGTGGTTTTAATTGGATTTAGCGCAGCACAGTTTGTGAGAGGTTGAATAAAAATCATTGTAGTTGCAAGTTTATTGTGTTATTTTTAGTAGTATTTTTTAAAAGTGGCACTACAGCTTCTATTTTGTGATGCATATCGTGTATTTTGAAAATGTCTTCAAGTATCATGATATAATATTTTTGCTGTATCGTCCATCCCTGCCTTGTGAGACTACTGCTCGTATCGCTTATAGCCAGAACCGACCCTGGCTCCAGTGCTAAACTGAAGAGACCAAACAAGTTTTGTCCAGTTGACGATGTTTGATGTAAGGCAGTATACAAATTTATTTTTGGTGAAATCTTCCTTTAACTCAGAGATGCTGTCTTTTCAGTTCAAGTTGGAGGTGTGAGTTCTCCGTTGCTTGGCAATTTCGACCTTTTTTGTGCATCATGTGGTCAGTTTTACCTGCTCTGGCACCTACTAAGCTGTGTGGAATCATAAAAGCTGTAATCGAAATGTTGAGTTGAATCAGCTTAGTTTGAGCACCAAACTGTGCTGGTCAGTGGCCCTTCAGGGCCAGATGTGAGCTCCACTGGTTTAGTATGAGAACATTACCTGAAACATTTTGGCATAACTCTGAGTGATTCAGAGTGGTTTGGTGTGAAATGGTTCAGAAGTCTTTACAGTGGTGGTGATAGGAACCAGGGGTTGCCATGACTACAACACAAATATAGACATTTTATTTACCATCCAGAACCCCCAGTGAACCTACACGAGTCTTCTGAGTTTATATGGATACTGATGATGGTAAAATAGTGATAAATCTGAAAAAAAAAGTTTTCTTTGGGGGCTATTTTGCCTCACATGTACCCCTCCACCGTGAATGGATTCAAAAGAATTATATTATAACTTTTTTAATATATCATAAACAGTGTCTCAGTCATCAGGCAGTGAATTCATAACCATTTCATGTAGTAACTTTCTGTGAGGGAGCTTTTAGAGGTGGACGTCTGGTTCCCATCACCACCACTGTGAACAGAACATTTCACACCAAACCAGTCTGAATGACTCTGTTTACATCTTAACCAGTTAATTATGCAGAAACTTTGAAAAATCAGTGGAATTCCCCTTTAAGCCTAGCCTTAGACTAAATTGCAATGCCAGCGGTGAATCGCCTTAAAAAAGTATCTTTAGTCTCGGCTTAGGCTTAATTTGGGTTCGGCAAACAGGCTCCATGTTATCGCATGGAAACAGTCAGACTGAGCTTAAACTGCACCCGCCCTGCTGCGAACGTCACTCAGAGTGAAACTGGCTTTGAGGCCGAGCAGTAAAATGACAAGCGTGACTGGAGAGGAAGTGGAAGGTTTCACTCTCTGACTCTCCTTATAAGGAGCCCTGTTGTCAGAATCAAACAATGCCAACATAAGGTGTGAAATCAGAAAGAGAACTTTGCATAACTCATAATAATAGAGATGAAACCTGAGTTAAACCTCATGCTTCTCAGTTCAGTATCAAAAATGCGGATGGTGATCAGAAGCATGTACTTACAATAACAGACCGCATCATCTCTTAAAGGGGAATTCCACCAAATTTGTCAAAATTTCTGTATAATTCAGCGATTGAGATGTAGACATTCAGTCATTCAGGGTGGTTTGGTGTGAAATGGTTCAGATCTCTTTACAGTGGTGGTGATAGGAACCAGGGGTCGCCATGACTACAACACAAATATAGACATTTTATTTACTATCCGAAACCACTAGGAAACCTACAGTCTTTGGGGCTTTTATATCATTACTGCCAAGCCATAACTTTTTTTTTGCCTAATTTGAAAATTTCAGTTACCTTTTGTGTTGTGTTAAAATTTCATAATAATTAGACCAACATTAATGGTCCAAAATTGCAAATAAAAACGATCTTGCTCCTCTAACTTTCATTAGAAGTTAACAATGTTTTGTTCTTCTCTTATAAAGTTAGCAATTTGGCGATATGAGTTGATGATAAAATAATGATAAATCTAAAAAAAAAGTCTTCTTTGAGGGCTATTTTGCCTTACAATGCCCTGCATGTACTGTAAATAGATTTTAACAATATATTTTAGGCCAAAATCTTCTCAAAACTATCAGAAAACAGTGTGTCAGGCAGCATTTTCTGGGGGCAGTCGTAGGCTGGAGGTTAGGGATCAAGCCTTGTGACCGGAAGGTCGCCGGTTTGATCCCCTGAGCCGACAGTACGTGACTGAGGTGCCCTTGAGCAAGACACCTAACCCCCAACTTCTCCCCAGGTGCTGTGGATAGGGCTGCCCACCGCTCCGGGCAAGTGTGCTCACTGCCCCCTAGTGTGTATTTGGTGTTTTACTGCACGGATGGGTCAAAATGCGGAGGTGAAATTTCCCCGTTGTGGGACTAATAAGTGTCAGTTAACTTCTTCATAACCATTTCATGTAGTAACTTTCTGTGAGGGAGGTTTTAGAGGTGGACGTCTGGTTCCTATCACCACCACTGTGAACAGTTCTGACTCTGTAAGTTTCTCTAGAACAGAGCGTTTCACACCAAACCATTTAGAATGACCCTTTTACATCTTAACCAGTTAATTATGCAGAAATTTGTAAAAGTCAGTGTAATTTAGCAGGTTTGGAAGCTCTAAAGGTAAAACTGGGTTGACTTCTTCTGTTCTCTGCTTCTACAGGCCGGCGCTGATACATCTAAAGCTCTTGAGGAAACCAAGGCCTTCACCACTCAGTCTCTGGCTAGCTTGGCCTATCAGATCAGCAACCTAGCTACCAATGTGCTCAAACTGCTGGACGCCCAGAGCTCGCAGCTCCGCCAGATCGAGTCCTCCGTCAACCTGATTGGACTGGTATGGATTTCAGATTAATCACGTGGTTCCGTGTCTTTTCAGTCATGCTTTCTGAAGTTTTTTGAGGCAGGTTTAAAAAAGCCTAATGCCCTTTGATTTAAATGTTTTACTGTAAGCGTGTTAAGTCCACCTGTTTTGAGCCGAGAGTTCGATGTAGTGTCTAAGCACTGTTACAGTTTCAAAACGTACTGGTCACTCTGCGGTCCACACAGTCCATAAACTAAGCTGCAAAAACAGCCCATGTTGAATTCACTGTTTTTGCGACTTCACAAACATGAACTCATTTACATATATCTACCTATACCAGTTTAGCTCCGCCCGTTCACACTGAAGTTATAAGGAGTGTTTCAGCCTGGACTGCTTTTAAACAAAGCACAATACAGAACAGCCAATCTAAACATATCTCATTTACATATTTCAGTCTAAAAGGCACAGTAAAAATGTCCTGTTTAATTTTAAGGCATATAGAGAGTTTGGAAAATGTAATATAAGTTATGAAATAAAACCTGTATGTATGAACTGTGCACAAATATGATAAGTGGACCTCAAGGGAAAAAATACAAAACTAATGTAAGATTTGGGCCCTTTAAAGGTGTTTTGTTCTCAGTGTATGACTGAAAGCTCTAAAACACGACCGTTTCTTCCTATTTGTTTACCTGTTTATCACTTAAAGGGCCCCCAAATCCCACAATTTATATTTCTCTATTTTATTTGTCACTGGATGCCCATTTATAACATTTCTGAGAAGCATCAAAATCAGACTTTTTTATTTTTTCTTGCCCATTTTCCAACCTTATTGTACCTTTAATACTCATAAATGTAAAGGTGCTCTGTTCTGATTGGCTGCTCTGTATTGCACTTCATTCAAAAAGCAGTCCAGGATGAAACGCTCTTTACAGCTTCTGCGTAAATGGGTGGAGCTAAACTGCTTTAGGCTGAATAAGTGGACATTTAAATGAGTTTGTTTTTTTTTTTGACATCACAAAATCAGTGAATTTAAATCAGGCCTAGTTTCTGTACTTGTACTGTATGAACTAGGAAATAAGCGGCATGTCAGCGTTTACATACTGCGTCAAAATTGCATTTCTTAAATAAGAGGAATTTTTGTTTTTCCATGATACAGGCCCTTTAAACATGACTTTTCTTTCTGTGCCGCTGGAGCCGCACAACATATTATTTATTATAAACTGGTATTGCTTAATAACCATTAAATTACACATAAATTTTGGGAATCAGTGGGATTTCCCCTTTAACTTAGTACATTCCTTTAAGTGTGGTGTGAACCAGGGCTCAGTACTGGGGACCTCAGTAAAGTCTGGCTGTTTGCAGGGGCCTTTAGCAGGGTAATCTCAGCTACTCTGAGTCTATTTATTCGCTCCCCCTTCCTTTCGTTTCCCTCTGTTTCCTCACTCTGGCATGGACCCGGCATGGCATTCCAGAAAGCTCCGTGCCCGGCCTGCCTAACCAGGTCACCTGAGACAGACTGCTAAAGTGGTTCTCACAGAGGCAGAGAATGAAAGGACCAGTGTTCAGATGCTGGGAGGCTAAGCGCTAAATGCTAACCCTGATTGATGTTGTCTATTGTCTGCTGTGCACCCAGAAAAGGCCTGAAATAGGGGCGCCCCTTTTCCACTGTGTGAAGGTCTGCAGGGGGAACAGAGAGAGATCTGCGTTTTAGGAAGTGTCTAATCTGTTAGCCTGGCTGCGCTGTCAGTAACGAACAACACCGCAGCACATCTATGAAGGCTTTGTCCAGATAAGGGTCATTCTCCATTTGCAGTGGGAATTCAGGTGGATACATTTTTTAAAAAAATCAGCTTCTTTCATCCCAAAACTAAATAATCTTAATATGTCCATTAACATCTCCTATGATCATATATACAGAACGGAGATTAATTCCAAACATATGTCACAGTCACTGGTGTTGTATGAATGTGGTGTAACACCAGTGACTGTGACTCCAGTGACATTCTGGGTAAATGTCACTGACTCATTGGTGATCAGTGTATTTTAAATCAGTAATAAAAATGATATATGTCATTATTTTGGCAAAATTTTAATTACCCAGCCATTAAAGCACAAAACACCAGTGACGCATAGAAGTTCTGAGCTGCCTGATGAACAAGATTATTAATAAATTAATGAAATATAGTGAGCGAGTGTGACTCGCCTTCTCACGCCTTGAGACGCTTCCTCTCTGATGAGCCTCGACCCAAAGAAGCAGTTTAATAGAGCTGAAAATACTGTGTTAAAATGTAAAATAAGAGTCCTGATAAGAGTCACCAGTGACCACAATCTCTGTGACAAACAAATTTTTTGAATAAAATACATATGTTTTTAAATGTAGTTTAACGTTAATGATATAAAAAGTAAACATGAATCTGTTTTATACAAATTCCAAAGTTAAACCTCTTAATAATATTGTTTTATATTAAAAATGGTTGAAAGTTGGTTTTTACAGACGCAGAACGACTATGAAAAATCAGAGAATCATAAGAGAAAAGTGTTATTTAATCTCAGGTCAACTGTATAAATGTACATACTGACTTTTGGAGCTGTGTCTAATATTTTAAGCATCTTTTTAAGCCCTGCAGCCTTTGTGACATAGTTTCCCACTGCAAATGGAGAATAACCCATAATTAAATGCTGCTAATTAAGTTCAAACCCAGTTCCATAAAAGTTGGGGCAGTGTGTGAAATGCTAATAAACACAGAAAGCAGTGATTACTAAATTCTGTTTGACCTGAATTCAGTTGAAAACAGTACAAAACATGATATTTGCTGTTTTACCTTATGAACATTATTGGTTTTTCTAAGTATATGCTGATTCTAAATTTGCTGCCTCCAAAAAAGTTTGGAAGGGAGCATTTTTCTGCTGTGTTACGCCTCCTTTCCTGTTAACACTTTTGGAAGTGGACACGCAGTTTTGAAAGTCTTTAAAAGTTTTTAAAAGTTTTTTGCTATTCTTCTGTCATACAAGTCTGCAGCTGTGCAGCTGTACAGAGCTTTCACTGTCGTATTTTGAGGTTAGTAAGGCATGTTTTCAGTGGGAGACACTTCTGGACTGTGGGCAGGTCAGTTTAGCACCCTTACCACACTCTGTTTACACAGACATACTGTTGTTACACGTGCAGGATGTTTCTTTGTGTTGTCATGTTCAAATAAGCATGAACATCCCTGAAAAAGACGGCATCTAAAAGGCAGCATATGTTGCTGCAAAATATGTTCAGTGTTAAAAGGGAAATCAACTGATATTTCAAAATTGCTTCAAAGTTCAGTGGTTGAGATGTAAAGAGTCATTCGGAGTGATTTGTTATGAAATGGTTCGTTGTAGAGAAACCTACAGACTTGGATTTGTTTACAGTGGCGATGATAGGAACCAGGGGTCACAATGTCCCACAGCACAAATGTAGCTATCCAAAATTACCAGTGAACCTACACGTGTCTTCTGAGTTTATGTGTGTAATACATAAATAATATGTATACAAATAAATTAAAAAAAAATGGTAAAATAGCAGAAAATCCAAAAAATACGTTTTTTTGGGGACTGTATTGCCTCACAGCACCCTCTTCGTCATGAATGGAATTTAAAAATCATGTTTTTAGGCCAAATCTTTATAGCAAAACCACAGTAAAACAATGTCTCAAGCATCACACAGCAAATCAGTAACCATTTCATGTAAGAACTTTCTATGATGTAGCTTTTAAAAGTACTTAATGCTTCGGACATCGGGCTCCTATCACCACCATTCTGAGAAACTCACTCTAGGTTTCTTTAGAATTATGCATTATATATCAAAATGCTCCGACTAACTTTGTTTACATCTGAATGATTGAATTATGTACAGCAATTATGATCAATTATTTAGTTACCAGTATGAATTGTGTTCCCCTTTAATGGGGCTTTCACAGATGTGCAGGTTATCCACTAAAACCCATTCATACTATGACAGATGCTGGATTTTTAACTTTACGCTGGCAACAATCAGGATGGTCCTTTTCTTTTTTGGTCCAGAGGACACAATGTCCATTATTTCCATAAACAATCTGAAAGGTTGACTTGTCAGAACATAGTACACATTTCTACTCAGCATCAGTCCATTTCAGATGCCCAGAGAAGTCGGTGGCGTTTCTGGATGTTGTTGATATATGATTTCCACTGTGTATAGTGCAGACTTAACTTGCATTTGTGGATGCAGCGATGGATGGTGTTTATTGACAACATCTGTAATGTTTGCATGTATTTGCATCAGTGCAGTTCTGTGTAAAACTGACAATTATATCTAAAGCTATTCATCTGGACAGTCCAAATGTATTTGTTCGAAAAAATACATTAGAATAATTCAAATAAACAATCAGTGAGGTGGCGGGGGTGCAGCGAGAAGTCATGAACCAAACCTGTGTTCTTCTAACTGTATTTATGTAATGTACATATTCATAACTTTACTGAAAACAACACGTTCTTCTCACATTTTACTGTATTTCTGTTCATTTGTCATTGTTCTAAAGTTACCCCACTTATTGCCCACACACTCTTGGCTACCTAAGACTTTTGCACAGTGCTGTACATCATTAATAATTATGTTATATATCGACAGGTTTCAGTCTGCACTTTTGAGTTTCTTTCCACAAAAGGAAGACTGTACACACAACTATAACTTTTGGTTAAATTCAACTCAAAATATCTCCTCTTATACTTACAAAAACAAATCTGCACTTTCCCCACAGTTTCTCTGCTTGTTTCAAAGTGAAAAATAATTAAACTAAATGTAAGATGAGGTGCTTCGAGGCACCATTCAGAACTTTTTTCTGATTTTCCTTCTTAATTAAATGGTTAACATGTAAATAAAGTAAGTAAGTAAATAATTCAGAGTGATATGTTGTAAAATTCTCCATTCTAGAGAAACTGAATGCCTCTTAAAGCTCCCTCACAGAAAGTTATTAGATAAAACGGTTATGAATACACAGTAAAGCAAAAGAGTCCCCATCAGCATTACATATAAAAGCTCGTGTAGGTTCACTGGTGGTTTTGGATGGTAAATAAAATAGCTATATTTGTGTTGTAGTCATGGCGACCCCTGGTTCCTATCACCACGAGTGGAGTGGTTTAAGTTCTAGAGAAACTTACTGAGTCAGAACTGTTCACAGTGGTGGTGATAGGAACCAGATGTCCACCTCTAAAAGCTCCTCACAGAAAGGTATTTCATGAAATGGTTATGAATTCACTGCCTGCTGTCTGAGACATGGTGGAGGGATACATTATATGCAGGGTGCTGTGAGCCAAAATAGTCCCCAAAGAAAACTTATTATTTCAGATTTTCCACTATTTTCCCATCATCAACATTCCATATAAACTCAGAAGACTCGTGTAGGTTCACTGGTGGTTCTGGATAGTAATTAAAATGTCTATATTTGTATTGTAGTCATGGCGACCCCTGGTTCCTATCACCACAAGCTGAGTCTCTCCATTGAACCACTTTACAACAAACCACTCCAATTTTACATCTCAACAAATGAATTTTGTTGTTTGAAAAAAGTTTGAAAAAAAGATAGAATTCCTCTTTAAGGCTGTTTTAAGTAACATCCCAGGGCTCAGGAGTGCCCAGGAGTGCCCAGGAGTGCTCAGGAGTGCTCAGGGGTGCCTCGGAGTGTACGAGTTACATGTGCTGATGCTTATCGAGTGTTTGAATCTGTCTGTGTGCAGACGGTGGACATGCACAGGGAGAAAGTGGCCCGCAGAGAGATCGGCGTTTTTACCATGGCGAAGAGATACACGAGGAGCAACAAAATCATCCCACCAGCAGGGGGAAAAGAGCCCAAACCCAAATACACCCGCACACCCATCTCATACACCGCACTGGACTCGCTCGGCCACGGCATGAAGGTAAAAACACAGAACACTCCTCGCTCTGAACCTCACACAGGACACGGGCAGCTACTTTCTGAAAGCCTCTTCACACACTACACACTCTTCACTGCTCAGCCTGTTCCAGCTGCAGTAACTACTGTGAATTATTCAGTAACCAGTGTGAATTTTATCAGCAATCACTATCACTTTTACAGCAATTATGATTTATTATTTAATAATCAGTATAAATTATTCAGTAAACACTGAACATTATACAGCGATTATGATTAATTACTCAGTAACCAGTATGAATTATTCAGTAACCACTACCAATTCTACAGCAGTTATGATTAATTACTTGGTAACCAGTATGAATTATTCAGTAACTGCTACCTATTATACAGCAATTACGATCAATTGTTTAGTTACCATTATGAATTATTCAGTAACAGCTACCAATTATACAGGAGTTATGATGAACTATTCAGTAACCAGATTATTCAATGACCACAACCAATTATATAGCAATAACGATTAATTTTTCAGTAACCACTATGATTTATTCAGTAACCACTACCAATTATACAACCATTACGATTAATTATTCATTAACCAGTATGAATTGTTCAGTAACTTGCTACTAATTATACAGCAATTATGATTAATTATTCAGTAACCAGTAGGAATTATGCAATAACTGCTACCAGTTTTACAGCAATTACGATCAATTATTCAGTAAACAGGAACAATTATTCAATGAACACTATTCATTTTTCAATAAATACTATGAATTATTCAATAACTACTACGAATTATTCAGTGTCTACTACCAATTTTACAGCAATTATGATTAATTATTTAGTAACCATTATGAATTATTCAGTATCTACTATGATTATTCAGTAACTGCTATGAATTATTGCTAAATAATTACTTCTGTAGCCAGAATGAATTATTTAGTAACTGCTATGAATGTAGCATTGCAGTTGAATCCACAGTGTCTTGTAGTTTAACACTAACGCTACCAGGCTAACGTAGCTAACAGGTGATGGAAGCTTATGGCGCGCTAGCTTTTTCGCGCCGTCTGAAATAGATCGCTGATGTGGTTTCTGACACCCTGTGACATGCTGTTTAGTGGCGCGACAGTTTTTGCTAAACCCAGATGGTGCTAAATGTATAAAATCACATGTTAGCATGTCGCTTTAGTGTGATTTCTCCGGACTAACGCACTTCACCACATCCTGCATGTAGAGCGGCCGAGCCAACAGCAATTAGCAGTACATGCACACGCAGGAACAGCTGTGCATTCAGAGCGAGCTTTTTCACCCGCTCTGTTCCTTATTCTGCTTCTGTCTCAAATATACACACACACACACACACGCAGCGGACTGGCTGGCAGGCAGCCACATAGCACCGTGGGAAAACAGTGAGAGGCATCACTCGGTGCTGTGGAGACTAATTTGGCTCACTGATGCCTTCACACAGCCCTGACTGCGTCCACAGCGAACGGGCACCAAACTACAGGCGTCTGGAAGAATGCAGTCCTGCAAATACACAGAGACACAAGACCACTGAAAGAGGCGCAACCTGACCCTCACACACAGTTCTCTCCATCTAACAGCATGAAAAGCAGTTCATATTAGCAGTTTAGAGGCATTCTGAGGTTCCTCTGGTTTATTCTGGTGTATGAAATGGACAGGAGTCATAGGAGTGGTCAATACAGCACAAGTACAGCATCACTATTCGAGCTATCATTAGGCATGTGCGCATATAAAATCACAATAATTACTTATCCTGTTATCACAGTATTGTCTTCAAAGTGTTCAGGTAACGACACACCACGTCACAATCATCACAACGTCACATCAGAGTTGCACAGCCACAATTTTGGTGGTATTTGTGGCAGCACAGTCGTGGTTTGTTATGAGCTAACAATCCAGCAAAGGCACATGATTTTTTTTTTAAATATTCAGTTTAAAACTTATCATTTTAAAGCATATTAACCATTAGATTTGAGTGTATTGCCGTTGTTTTATTTGATTGTGAAACAGTAATATATTATAACATTGCCCACCCTAGTTCAGTCATTGAGATGCAAACATTGAGAGATGTGAGTCACTCACATTGGTTCAGTGTAGGGAAACTTATAGACTATAAGATGTCTTTCCAGTGGTGGTGATAGGAACCAGGCGTCGCCGTGACTACAACACAGATATAGACACTTTATTTACCACCCAAAACCACCAGTGAACCGGATATTTGAACACAATCAACACACCAGGACTGTAGATGTCACAAGTAACATATTACAGATACAGGTTGGAGATACTGGCTGATTAAATACAGATATTACACACAGATACTATATAGATATTAAAGGTGTTATTATGCAGATATTACAGATAGATTGGTAAAAGTAGCTGTTTTTGTTAATATACATTATATGGACAAAAGTATTGGGACGCCCCCCCTAATTATTGAGTTCAGGTGTTTCTGCCACATTGCTAACAGGTGGATCAAGTTAAGCACACAGCCTTGCAGACAGACACTGGCAGTAGAGGGTCGTACTGATGAGCTCTGACTTTAAACATGGCACTGTTATAGGATGCCACCTCTGCCTCAGATTTCTGCCCTGCTAGATCTGCCCCAGACAACTGTAAGTGCTATTACTGTGAAATGGAAGCGTCTAGGAGCAAAAACAGCTCAGTGACGAAGCGGTAGACCACGCAAGCTCACAGAGTCGGTCTGTCAAGTGCTGAAGCGCACAGTGTCTATTCTCTGTTGAATCACTAAAGAGCTCCAAACAGCCTCTGGATCAACATTAGCAAAAGAACTGCACGTCAGGAGCTTCACGAAATGGGTTTCCATGGCTGAGCAGCTGCACACAAGCCTAAGATCAAAATGCACAATGCCAAGTGTCGGCTGGAGTGGTGTAAAGCGCCGCCACTGGACTCTGGAGCAGTGGAAACGGATTCTGTGGAGTGATGAATCACACTTCTCTATCTGTCAGTCTGATGGACGAGTCTGGGTTTGGAGAATGCCAGGAGAACGTTACCTGCCTGACTGCACTGTGCCAGCTGTAAAGTTTGGTGGAGGAGGGATGATGATATGGGGTTGCTTTTCAGGGGTTGGTCTAGAACCCTTAGCTCCTTGGCTAATTTTTCTGCCATTTCCAGGTCATAGAGGCCTTAGACAGATACACCACTCAGAAGCATCTTAACAAAACATCATTTGTTTAGTTTAATTTATTGATGATACCAGCTCAGAAATGTTAATTGTGATGAAATGTATCGTGATATTGTGAGATCATAGCAACATTGCCCACCATTAGAATGAATGAAGACTACAACGCACTAATCACCGGCTCTTAACCCCTTCTGCTCTTCGCAGGACTCCAAGAAGCCACAGGAGAGAACGGCCACCATGAAGCGCAAGCAGAGCGGCACTCTGGGGTATGTCAGGCACTGTATTAACCTATAAACTGCACCACAGAAGGTTTTAATGATGTCATTCATTTAATGTTAAGTTAAAGTTTATTATGATTATTATTTGCTGCTCAAAGAGCTGCACTGAAATGACTTGATTCAAAGGTGCTCATCATTTCCATTTGAATAAAATACAACAATACAGTTACTGTGAAAAGTAAACTTGGATCAAGAGCACTTTTTTCAGTGTATTACATGTGTATGGCCGTGTCTATTACATGCCTACATGCTGCCACATTATGTCAGTTCAGTTTATGAACAATTATGAGTACAATAATTTCTATTCAACATTAAATCCAGTTAACAGGACCTATTACGGCTCTCCTTGTACATTTTTCTCAAAGACAGTAGTATATCGTAATATTGCCCACCCCAAGTTCAGTCACTGAGATGTAAACATTCAGCTTGTGGTGATAGGAACCAGGGGTCGCCATGGCTACAGCACAAATATGGCCATTTTATTTACTATCCAAAACCACCAGTGAACCCAAGCGTGTTTTCTGAGTTTCATATGCAATGTTGATGATAGTAAATTAGTAGAAAATCTAAAATAATACGTTTTCTTTGGGGACTATTTTGCCTCACAATGCCCTCTATGTGTCCCTCCACCTTTAATAGCTTTAAAAAATAAGTTTTAGGCCCAAAATCCCCTCAAAACTATCGTAAAACAGTGTCTCAGATATCAGGCGGTGTATTCATAACCACTTCTCTTTGAGGGAGACGTCTTTTTAGAGGGGGACGTCTGGTTCCTATCACCGCCACTGTGAACAGTTCTGAACGTTGTTTTTTTTGTGTCCTGCGTGTTTTTCTTTGCTGTCACTGGATTTAGAAAATGTGAGGTATCATCAGTTTAACTCTGCAGAAATCTTTGAAAAATCAGTGGAATTGTCCTTTAAGCAGAAGTGCGCTCTTGTCTAAAGCGTGAAACGACCTCCTCAGCATTCACCGCCCTCATCGGTTCTGCAAGAACGTGTCTTTATCAGGAAGTTCATTCAGTTTTGCTCAAACCACTTCCTCTGCACGCTCCGCATACAGTGACTTGAGGAAACCTTTAGTCACAGCTTTAGTGTTTCTGTTGTAGCTGCTTGTAAATAGAGAAGCATAGAACAGTGCAGAACAGAACAGTGTTTTAGATATAAATAGGTATTAACTGATATCATCACAGAAGAGTGTGGCTCATAAGCATGTTTTTTGCTGTACTGTTGCCTCACTGCGTTTATATTTGTGTTTGTTTGTGTTTGCCTGTTTTTGCAGTAGGAACAGTCGGCCTGCAGAGCCTATACAGTGTCCAGTGGCGCCCACTTTGTCCCGGGGAGCATCCCAGACTTCCCTTAGTGATAAATCTGCCACGTAAGCACACTTCGCTCGATACTTAATCTTCTACTGAGTGTTATTTTAAAGTGACAGTTTGGTGAATTTGCACAGTTTTCCTCATTACCTTGAATGTAATCATTCAGCCAAGACATGTTTGCTTCTTTAGTTTTGCACTGGAGCTTAAAGGCTACTGGAACTAACAAGGCCTAACCTCTTTTTACAGTAGCCAAAAAATGCATTTTCCATCTGTCAGCTCCTATACTGTGCCTTTTGTTTGTTTGGTAACGTTGATGGACTCCGTTTAGATGCAAAAGTGTCTGATTTAAAAAAACGGAAGACGGATTTTGGTCTTTGTTGGTCACTGAGCAGGTCAACATTTATAAAAGTGCTTGTTTAGTATGTCAGTTGTACAAGATTAATATAAAGAAAGCTGCAGCTGTCCATTTTATCTCGGCTCGGACGTCTTTGTGGGGAGATGTGAAGTGTTTTTCACAGCAGGGGGTCTAACTTTTCCCATTTCATCTCCCATTGCTCGCTAGCAGCTCAACACAGACTGTGTCTGAAAAGTAACAGATGCTGCATTTTCATATATATATATATATATATATGTATATATATATATATATATATATGTGTGTGTATATATATATATATATATATATACATATAAATAACTGTTCAAAACCTCATATCTCCATTTTTGACATTTATCAGTTTTGATGCAGTTTGAAAATGCCTGTTATTCTTTACATTGTGTGTAAATTTCATGATGAATGGACCTAAAAAAAATGTGCCAAAATTACTTGGAAAAAAGTCTGGTTCCATTCACTTGCATTAAAAGTCAGGTATGTTTTTTCCTTCTCCTGTAAAGTTATCATTCTGAAGATATGAGGTTTTGTTCTAACAGTGAAATATATAATAGAACATGATACGTATTATATACCGTATTCTGAGGCAGGAAGGCACCAGATCAAATGTTTGTACAAAATGCTTCCTCAGTTTGGCTGTTTTTTTGAAGACAGTATAGATGTATCCTTCGCTGCCCCGCATGACCCATAACCTTTTGTGTTGGCGCAGATGCAGATGGAAAAATAGCCAAAAAAAATACCACCAGCAGTGAGACAGTGGAGGAGAGAGACCAGCTCGTGTACAAATACAATGCTTTTCCTTTTGGCTATGAAAGGTCTGCATGCTAGCCTTCTAAAACGACATTTTGTGGGTGAAAGATGATAACCTCTGATGCTAACAGCTAGCAGTGAGCTCTCATGTCTCAAAGCATGTTATAAATGCAGTTCAGTTGCAGACACCGTAATCATAACACTGCCTTCTGAGGCACTGACTCATGAGACAGCACACAGCCGCAGACTCACAACATTTCACACACAGACAGACAGCAGTTAACAGTTAGTCCTAGTTCAGGGGTGTCCACTCTTATCCGCAGAGGGACGGTGTGCCTGCGGGTTTTCACTCCCACAAAACAGGAGGTCACCTGATGAAATGTTTAGACAAGTAGAATCAGGTGAGATCCAGCTTGTTTGGGGTGAAAACCTGCAGCCACACCGGCCCAGTCCAGATAAGACTGGACACCCCTGTCCTAGTTAATCTGCTAACAGAGTTAAGGTGAAAGTAAACATTTTATTCCAGTATATTATTTATAAATATCCATATTAATCTCTGTTTCACTTTCAGAATGGCCACTAGAGGGCCTGCAGAAAAGGCTAAATCATCACACTCGCCTCAAACCATGTGGAGGTGTTCAGTATCTCTAATAGTCTTGATTATGTGGTTTCTGACCCTGAACGACTCACTGTTATCCATAAACATGGACTAAAGTACGTTAGCGTGGCTAAAAACAGTAGAAGCAGCCAACTTAATGCTAATCGGTGGAGTGTATAGCTTTGTTGACTAGACTTGTTGACTTGATTATGTGGTTTCTGACACAGTAAGACTCACTGCTGTCTATAAATATGGACTAATGTACATCAGCATACTTGAAACAGTAGCCAGAGCCAACTTAAAGCCTTTATTCTGCCTGTACTTTTGACTATTGCTAACCGGTGCCATACAAGCTTCCATTACTCGTTAGCTACATTAGCTTCCTTGCTAAAGAAGCGAACATGTCTTGGCCGATCGACTACATATATCATCACCAGTCTGCTGGACGAGGGACCCCCACCTCCTCCCCCACCACTGGAGGGAGAGACACCGAGCGAGCCTGAGGCGGGCGGCCCTCCGCCCCCCGCTGCCTCCACTGGGTAAGAAGGGAAACTCTGTCACTTTAAGGACTTGTTCTTGTCTTCGAGCAGGTCCAGTTTCGGTAAAGCCGTACCACCCCCGGTGGTTCCCAACTGGCCTACGTCCCCCGAGGCTGATATCATCACCAGTCTGCTGGACGAGGGACCCCCACCTCCTCCCCCGCCACTGGAGGGAGAGACACCGAGCGAGCCTGAGGCGTGCGCCCCTCCGCCCCCGCCGCCTCCAATGGACTCAAGCGACCTCCTGCCACCCCCACCGCCGCCCCCAGCAGTGGAGACCCCCGACGTGAGCAACATTCCCCCACCTCCGCCAGCCCCTCCACTGGAGACAGGTGAGAGTCTTATTACAGAACTGGTGCAAACAGTGACCAGTGGTGGCAGGCAGCCATGGAAACGTTACTGTGCTGATAGCATTTGTGCATTAATGGGGAATCAAACGGTCAGTCAATCATGTGGGCAGTGATGGTGCTATTCATTATATGTCTATGATGTTTTTTGAACATACAAAATATTTTGCACAGGCAACATTTTATCATTTTTCCCCCAATATGTCAAATTCAGCAAATAAACAGTTATTGTGCATTAATATGAGCAGACATTTGTGTTGCCATAGAGGAGCTTTTTTATAGACCACTTTTCATGCATGTAGGAGATCAAACGTACGTTTTAAAATGTATAACATAATAATAGTTATAATAATAAAACACAAACACAAGATAAACAATCATAATAAAAATAAAATAAAATAAAAAAGTGAAATTAAAAAAAAAAATCTCACAATATATTTTTCTATATTGATAATATTGATAATATTATTTATCAATATAACTGAACCTTTTCCACTTTGCAGACCTTTTTATTTATTTATTTTTTAAATCTTTTTCCAAGATGTTATTCTCGAAATTGCAGCCTTTTTAGGTTTTCTGATGTTGTGAGTGAACAGCTAGACTACTTCTCTCTCATCATCTACAGACGAAAATGTGCACAGTGCCATCTAGTGTACTGAAGTAGTGTAACATCCTTGCTCTATTTCTGTTTGTCTGTCTTTGTTTACCTTCCCTCGTGAGTCTAGCCATGTCCTTTTGTCATTGTTTTTGTTCCTGTCTCCTTCCCTGTCCTGTCTCCTGGTTATCTGTCCCACCTGTCTCTAGTCTATAGCCCCGCCCCCTCATTAGCCCCAGGTGTTTCTTGTTTCTTCTCGTTTACACTGTATATATACCGCTGGTTGTTTTTCTTGCGTTTGGTGTTTTTGTTTTTTTCCTTGCTGTGTTTTGGTTCCCTTCATGTTCCTTAGTCTTTAGTTTTCTTTTAGTTCAAATATTTTTATGTCTAGTGTTTTCTTGGTCTCATTCTTTGTTTCATCGCATGAATTCTCTTTGTCTCTTCCAGCGTTACAGTTTGAAGCTGTTTGAATGTTCAGATTTCAGTGCATTTGCAGATTTTTTTTGTAAGTTTTTTTCCACTTTAATGATTCCCTGAAGACATTTTTCACAGCTCACTTAAGGGGAAACTTAAGGCCAGACTTTACTTAAGATATTTTATATAAGTGACCACTAGCCTTTTCTGATGATGCATCAAAAGTGCCTTACTGCATTACTCTGGTTTCAGAATGAAAACTGGTTTGATTTTGATTTGTTATTTTATCATCCAGACTCAAATTTAGGTCAGACTGGTGGATGTTTAAGCTGTACTGTTTTTCCTGCTTGTTCAGTCCCCGAGGAGAACAGTTTGCCTCCTCCAGTATGTCCTGGTGATCTTCTGCCTCCTCCGGACAGTGACGGCCTGCTCCTTCCTGCTCCTCCACCTCTACCTGGAGAGGAGAACGGAGAAGGTACAGAAAGCAAACCTCTCTGAGTAAATGAGAGGAAGCTCCAGCTGTTTGACTCTGTATGAAGCTTTGCGGTGCTGTGCTCTGTGTGCTGTATGGACGATGGACGAGTCTACACTGCTGGTGCTTTTCTTGACAAACATATCGCTGCTGTTGGAGCAAAACCTCGTATTTACAAAATGATAACTTTACAGTAGAAGGGAAAAAATGTACTTCATTTTTTTCTGATCAGTTTTTAAATATATATATATATATATATATATATATATATATATTATTTTCTTGGCGGCGGTGAGACCAGACAATAGAGTACAGAGTACAGGCAAGGCAAGTTTATTTATATAGCACATTTCATACACTGCTGTCATTCAAAGTGCTTTATAAACAAGAAAATACAGAGTTTTTTTTTTAAAAAGTAAATGAGAATAGAATCCTGTCGGTCAACTGGCCTCTCCATTTTTAGTCTTTACCTTCGACAGGAGTAACTGACCAGTTCCTGATCTAATTATCTCACTTCTGCATAGCTGTGGTGAGATATCCCGTAGTCTTGTAGGATTTGGCCAAGAGGCAGCATGTATAAATTGAATAAGAGTGGCCCAAGAATTGAACCCTGGGGGACACCACAGGTCAATGGCACTCTCTCAGAAACATGATTTTCTATTTCCACAAAGTAGTCCCTTCCTTGCAGGTATGAACGGAACCATTTTAGGACAGTTCCTGAGAGTCCAGCCCAGTTCTCAAGTCTATCTATGAGAAGACAAATCTAAGGAGGAGTCGTCATTAAGTAGAAACAAAGTGGGATACTAATTTCAAGTATGTTTCATAACCCATTGAGGCACAGTGGTCACTGTGAGAAACCGCTTTGTTTTTTCTCATTTCTCAATTTGCATTAGTGTTTAAATAGGGAACCTGTACATTTTCTGAAAATGTTTAATGTTGTTCTTGGGACAGTTAAAAAAGTAGCACACAGGAAGTGATGTAAGAACTGTAGTTTTTCGGCAAAGCTGGGTTTGCATGGTTGTTGGAGGAGCCTGTCCAAAACTGCTTACCAGGTGATCCAGGTTGGTTGTGCATGTATGATTGTAGTTTTTAATTGTAGATAACATGCCATAGAATGAAAATGTACAAAATAATAATTAAAATAACTAATATATTCATTTTATAAGGCTAAAACGTGGTGGTTTTGCCTTGTAACCACTGTGAATATAAGTGAAGTAGATGGTCACATGAGTGACCACAGTGCATTTAGGACAAACACATAATCACATGGAGAAATGGTGAAAGACATTGTGCCTATAGTAGAACATTGTGTTTATTTGTTTGTTTATTCAAAACTAGAGATATTTCACAGAGCTAATTTGATTGATATTGTATATCATAGTGCATCATGGAAAACCTAAATGAGTGCTGAGGAGGTAGGAAGGCCTTTCCATCAGATTCTTCATGCAGTGAGAGTGAGAGCAGTCGAAAGGATTATGAGGGAGATCAGGGCAGTTATGGAATCCAGGGAAATAAAAACGACAGAGGTAGTGAAAGTGACCAGGGCAGTGACCCAGCTGTAAATGCACACATTCTGTAAAGCAAGCAGTTTCCAAATGACAAGATGACCTTAAGGGACGTCCGTTGCTCTGTGGTAACAGGTTTAGTAAAGGGCAAGATTAATTCTAATAAAGACTGAAGACTGTCAGCTGACAGAAGAGCACAGTTCCCACACTACAACCCATACATATCAAGGGGGAACCACAAATCTGAAGCCGCTCATCTCCCAGTGTAAAGCGTATGGAGACACTATGCCGAGTGCAGCACTAAGAAGGGTCTGCATTGCTCAAAATAGATGTGCGCAGAGTGCAACGCTGGGCTGAGCATCAGCCAGACAAAGAACTGATTTTATCTTTGTCACAAAAACTGAAACAAAACAATGAAATCCGAGAGCAAGCTGAGTATTACATGAAAAATGTAAGTGACATAGTCAGCACCACCTAGTGCACAGTGGACTTAGAGATCTCAGTACTCAGAGAACCCACCTCAGAAATGACCTTTGACCCTGAACCTAAAAAATCTAGTTTAGTTTAATGGTTTGTAATGGTTCTTATCAACAAATCTGGTATTTTGAAAGAAATTCTGTATGTGTGCCTGAAAGGGTTCGAGATACTTGCTTCCAGAAAAACCCGAATACATATGCATAAATGACCACTGGGTGCTGAGTGGACACACAGGTCACCATTAGGGCATGTAATTATCTTCATAGGGTGATTCGTAATGGATTAATTGATCATAGGGATTTGTAGATGTACTATACAAAATTTTCCACATCGTGCCCAAAACATACTCAAGTCCAAGTAACCAGACTTTTTCTAAGTGATTGTCGGCTGTTTCTTTTGGTCCACTCATCATGTGATTTACACACAGTGAAAAAGTGCAAAAGGCATTTTATTTTAATTAAATTATGTCAGACTGACAAATGACCAAGACGGAGATATGAGGTTCTGTTCTGACGGCAGCGATATGTGCGCTGAAGTTCACCTGTCTGTGTATGTGTGCAAAATGATATGTCTCTGTGCAAGTTGGCGTACACTGCCCATCAAATGTTTGGTGACTCCTTGTCTTCTTTCGTGTGATTTTTAGGGTTCCTTTTTAATTAAAGAGAAGGAATCACTTTAAAGGTTTAGTTACCGTACAACAGCTCTGTGCTAATCCTTTGAGTTATTAATCTTCAGCGCTCTTGTTGAAGCCTCTTTCCCACTGTAGGGCTGAGCGGTTCTGAGCACAGAGAGTTCTAGTGGCTTTTCCAAACACATACACTTCAACACGAAAGGCTTACAAGCCAAACTCAGTTAGCTACCCGCGCTCAGGACCACAGAAACCTTCGGTGGGATGATGCAACGACGCAGCTTACATTATATACTCTTTATATACTTTATATACTCATTATATACTCTTCTGTGTCCACAGCAACACAAGTCTGCAGGTATAGAGGATCATATGTAGAGTCCACCAAAGCGGACATGTTTTTCATGAAACTCTGAAAGAGCGAATTTAGAACTTTTGTTGTTTCTGCAAGACCCATAACTTGTTTTACTCAGCTGAGCTGATGAAAACGCATCTATTTCACTTTCTGATTGTTGTGATACGGAATGACTGTGGAAGATAATTACAGTTACTCAAGTAATTGTAATTGTCTCAAATAATTACAGGTCTGATTTCTGACTTTCAGATTGTTGTGATATGGAAACATAATTGCATAATTATGCTTAAGTAATTGGAATTATCTCAAATATTTGCCTGATTATGTCGGGTGGTTATGTAATAATTGGGACAGGCCTAGATATATTCGCTGATTGGTTCTACCTGCTATCTGATTACTAATTACTGTTCTAATGTGCCGCCACATTTTGCCAAAAACAAAAAACAGTTAAGTTCAGTTCACCAAATAAATGTTAAGAACAGTTTGTAAAAGCTCGGAGTCCCCAGACCTTTTATGGCAGTGTGTTTGTCTGGTGTGGCTGTTCAAGCTGAAGTGTACAGTGGAGTCAAAGTCTGAGATCGCTGATGAAGAAGCTTCTTTTTTTGCATTTCTTTCTAATTTAATACAATTTTTTTTCCAAGAGCCTCTGATAAGCACATCAAATCCTGCTGAGAGTCGTCTGAGCACGATCCTCACTGGAAGGAATAAGACCAAAAAACAGTCAAATTCATAAATATGCTTAAATATGAGTGTTGATTGAGGAAAAGTGCAGAATTTTGAAAATTTCTTCTTCATTTTAATGATCATCACTTTATAATAACTTTATCTTATGAACGCTTTTCAAATTTTCCTGTTCCGAGTTTAAGTGAGAAAAATACCAGATCTTCAATGCGGTCTCAGACTTCTGGAGCCCACTTGGTTCATATGTGCAAGTTCTTTATTTCTGTCTGTGCTGCTGTTCAGTTCGTCGCTCTCGGCGCTCCAGAGCTCGTCTGCCCCCCAGCACACGCTCTCTCTCTCTGAGGCTCCGCCGGGATCCCGCCACGCGCTGCCTCTACACTCACTCGCTCTACCTGCCCTCCACCCGCTCACGTAAGGCCCAGATACCACATCCGCCACTGTTCGTTACGCCCTTCACTCAGACAACAGCTACTCTTCAGCTAATCTAACAGGTCTCAAGAGTTAAAGAGATGGTTTGGCCAAAAAATCTCATTTGCACCCCTCCAGCCCCTCTTTACATCGGTCAGCCATGACATGCTTGGTGTTTGAAGTTTGCTTCTTCTGTTTTAGCACTCGAGCTAACGAGGCTAAGAGGCTAAAAAGAGCGATGGACGCTTATACTCCTCTAATTATCACCACTGAGCTTTCAAACACATTTTTTTTCAGTGGGCGCACTGTGGCAGATAGGCGGGGTCACAAAATGTTCAGATGTTTTCAACTTTTGTGTGACCTGCTTTGTTGTAGTCTCAGTGAGGCGAATGGGGAGACGTAGGCGTGTCTGTTAGTTCCTGTTACTACCCGAAAGGCGATTGGTGTAAAAGTAGCCTAAATCGTCACACTCGCGTCAAGCTGTGTGGAATTCTTCAGTAATCTGTCGGCCCTGATTTTGTGGTTTCTGACACTGTATGACTCACTGTTGTTTATGAAAAGTCTGGCTAGCGCTTTACTTAAGGGCAGCGTTCATGAGACTTTCATGATACTTGACGTAAATCTACTTATGCTTCCCAAAAAGGTGGCTTTTGTCCATTTTAATGCCGTTTCAGTGTCATAGCAACCACGTTTTGTCTGCATTATTCATTATTTTGATATAATTGGTGGAGTATAGGCCTCCATGCTTTTAGACAGAAAGTTGTTTATTCTAGAACAGAGGTCTTTAAAGAGCAAAGGTCCGGAAACTTTGTCTAACTTGCACTATGATTCAGTGCCATATACTGAAGTAGTAGTTCTATCAACATCTTATGCAGCCAACAACTGAATGTCAAATCAAAAAAAGTACAGTTCAGTCATATTTCAACAATATTTATTGTCAGTTTTCTCTTTTTAGAGCACGACATGTGAAATAACTTCGCTCTGACTCACTTTCTTCTCTGACTGCTGTTTCTCGCCTCATCCCTCCCCTGTGTGTGCGTCACTCACTCGAGTCTCAGTGCTCATCGTAATGCACAGATCTGATTGGCTGAGTAGCGCCACGTGTGATTTTTACAACGCAAGCGATTGGTCTGTGAGTTTCCAGGGCCGCTAAAGACTAGAAATGTTACGCAGATTAAAATAGGACCACCCAGTCGAAATTAAGTAATTCTCCTTAGTTTATTAGTTATAGACCCAAGTCCGCATAGGACAGCGCCTGGGTCCGGACTCGGACCGCGGCCTGCCTATTAGTGACCTCTGTTCTAGAAATACAGAAGTAATAAATATACAGCTCATTGAATATATAAATTTGATATTGCCTATTGTCCCATTTATTTTAAACAACACGGTCCTACTGTGTTACTTATGTCTACACTATATGTCCAAAAGTGTCCACTGTGTGCACCACTGTCCCGCATGCATTACCGTTATCGGTCAGTCAACTCGGAATTCATTGAGGGAGACCCTCTTTTACAGTGCATCCGAGTAATACAGGAATCAGGAATTGAGAAGTTGTTATAATTGCTATATGTTATAATTAAATAATAAATATTATAATAATAAGAAGGTACCAATAAACCGTTAAATCAATAAGTTATACAGTTATGCGCTTAAATGCATATAATGCAACAAACTCCCTCACCTCTCATGTAATGAGCTGCAGCCTGAGGTCAGTTAGTCCGGATTATTATCAAAAGAGCGACCTCAGATTGTAATGAGTTAAAGCGGGGGAAGAGAGTGGAAGGAAAAGCCAGTCTCTTGGGGTTAGCTGTTAGCCATTAGCCTAGCATGGACACGGCCGGCTTTCCATGTGCACCGCCTGTGGTGCACCTTGCTCAGCCGGCAGCTTCTGCGACTTCAAGCCAAGAGTTACCACAGCTCCTCAGCTAAACCTGATAGTGTGAACGGCTGTGATATTTACTAAATTCCAGCCACGTCTGAAGCTCATAGGTTAAAGCTCGAGTGTGAGAGACGCACATATGAGACAAATGACTTTCAGCCAAGCAGAGAAGAGTGCAAAACACATACATAACTACTGTGGGGAACACAGGTGTTCTTGAAATGCTCAAGTACAGTTTTTCACTGCCGTAATATGCTTACATGTGCAGTACGGTTTGGGTCATGCTGGCTGGTGCTGGTACAAGTATTGTCCTCTACACATGTACAGTGTAGAACAGGAAGGGGATGCAGATCAGGTAGCGACAAGACCCTCTGAGAGAGTCTGACACAGGCGTTCAGTCGCTTACAGTATTATCTTCAAACAAACAATGCATTGACCAATAGAACGTCTGGAGTAGCCACACATTAGTCTAAGTTCTCCACGTCCAATGCCAAGCATATAAAGCCCCCCCCAGCATTGGGCTGTGGAGCAGTGGAACTGGGTTTTCTGGAGTGATGGGGCTCCATCCAATACCTTTGAGATGAACTGGCGTGATCCAGAACTGACCATCCAACATCAGTACCTGACCTCACTAATGCTCCATCAAATCCTCACAGCAATGTTCAACATCTACTGTAAAGCCTTCCCAGAGGAGCAGAGGCTGTTACTGCCGCAAAGAGGACGAACTCACTATTAATTCATAGTGAGTTCATTTCAGAAAGTGTCTGAAAACCTTTGGACATACAGTGTATTTTCCCCTGTTTTAAAGTAGTAAGTGAAGTATATTGACTGCAGAATTCACAGTTACATAATACATTTCAGCACTTTGAATGGCTCATTTAAAACACCTCAGCTGATAAAAATGCTCTGATTGGTCCATTTCTCTACAATCACCTGTCAGTCATGATTCCCCCGCCCCCTCCATATCCTCCTCCCATGGCTCCGCCCGCCTCTCTGAGTCCGCTGTGCCGGATCCCTGCCCGCCTGCAGCACCTGGGTGAGTCCGGCCCACTGCTTCATCTCTCTGCTCTTCATCTTCCTCTTCCTCCTACACTCTGAGCTCTGTATCAGCCTGTCTGACTTCGGCATGAATTAAATGAAAAATGCTGTCCCAGCTGTTTTGGGTAACTTGCTTTGATCCGTTCAAATGTTCCAGACGATTTTCTGCGTTACTGGGAATATCATTTTAAAGGGCCCATTTCCTGGAACTCCAGATTTTCCTTACAATAAAAGACTTAAATGTAGTATGTGAACTACTGCCCAGTCTATATGTTAAAACTAGGCTGCAAAAACAGCCCCATTTAAAAACATCAGGTTTGTGATGTCACAGCTGACTGCTCATTCAGCCCTCAGCGGTTTAGACTCATCCATTCCTGTTGAAGTGATGCGTAGTGTTGCTCCTGCGGACAGTAGCTGCGTTCCAAAGCCTCGGCTGCAGCCGAGGTAGGTTGCGTTTATCGGCCGCTACGTCTTAGAAGGCTGGTCCAAAGCGAAGGACCCTTCATACGCAGCCTAGAAATCCATGTGATTTCGAGAATGCAACTGATGTATCCTTCCCGGCCTTTGGTTACCCACAGTCCTTTGCGCACATACGATGCCGAGGAAAAAAAAACAGTGTCAAAACGAAGCCGTTGGAGCAGAGCTCGTTTTGTAAGTTGCTCACGCCCTTGAATTCGTCTTCGTTACCTTATAGAGTGTAAAATGATTGATAAAAGAATACGCCCATATATCGTATTTTAATCAGAAGTATTTGTATATTGTGTGGTTTATCGTACTACATAAGCTTGTTGGCGTATTAGCTACCATAGCAAGTTTCTGGTGACGTCACCACGCAGCCTCGTTAGGACTGTTCCAGTTGTGTGACCAATCGGCTACTAAGCAGGAGTCTTCATGGGACAGTCCTACCGAGGCCCCGCCCTGCCTCGGCTGCAGCCCAGGCTTTGGAGCGCAGCTAGTCTTTAAAAGAATTATGGGAGTGGAAGATTAAGAGATTGAACGTTGTGCTTTTCCTGGCTGTCGGGAAGCAAATGCATCACCAAAAGATCTACGCATCTGAAAGTGGTTTAAAGTTCGTTTTGCCCACACTATTGAGGAGTTCAGTCCCAGCCTAACAGATTGTTCCACATTTCAGCCTGTACTGGTTTTGAACTGAGCCACTGTACAGAGCAGCCAATCAGAACAGAGCTCATTTACATATAGAAAATTTGAATGCGCAGTAGCAAAGACAACTAATTCTCACATACGAATGTGAACATCTTTGTCATCGTATAAGTACATCAAGATTGAGTCATTATATAATTCGAATTATTCTACGTTTTAAATTATAGTTCTAATTATATATTCTAAGATATAAAGGGAGAGAGAGAGATTAGAAAATGGTCTCATACAAAGTAGAATTCAGCTCAGTCTGGTACTTAAAACCACACAGACCCTACAAATGAACTTCTTAGAGAAAAAAATACAGGAAAAATCTAGAATATTGGGCCTTTAATCTGCAGTCTGTTCCAGGTGTCTGTTACGATGTACAGTGATGGTCAGGTCTTTAGAGCTGTGTGTTGACGTGTTTTCAGACCTGGAGATTCCTGCCCCTCCGCCTCCTGTGCCCATGGACTGCATGGACGGCTTCGATGACGTTCCTCCTCTGCCTCCGCCGGTGGACTACGACACCTCTGCACCTGCTGACTACCTGGAGAAAGGTACAGCCCCACTCAGAGCAGAGCAGATCTTATCTGATCACACCTGAATACTTTATACTCTATGAAATTGATCTGAACTGGAAAGTCGTCTGTGGCACTGGTATATAAGGGTTGCGTCTATTACCCTTACAAAAAGAAGTATTTTATTAAGCAAACTTAAGTAAAGTTCAAGTATACTTTATGTACTAAGTATACTAATATCAATGTACTAGTAGTATACTTATAATTGTATATTTCAGTACTTCTTGGGACTGAATTGGCCCACTTTTAGTTTATAAACGTATACTTTAAAAGTATACCACAAGTGAAATTATATATATAATATAACATTATGACCACCTCCTTGTTTCTGCGCTCATTGTCCATTTTATCAGCTCCACTTACTATATAGGTGCACTTTGTAGTTCTACAGTTACAGACTGTAGTCCATCTGTTTCTCTGCATACTTTGTTAGCCCCCTTTTACCCTGTTCTTCAGTGGTCAGGACCCCCATGGACCCTCACAGAGCAGGTACTATGTGGGTGGTGGATCATTCTCAGCACTGCAGTAACACTGATGTGGTGGTGTGTTAGTGTGTGTTGTGCTGGTCTGAGTGGATCAGACACAGCAGTGCTGCTGGAGTTTTTAAACACCTCAGTGTCACTGCTGGACTGAGAATAGTCCACCAACCAAAAATATCCAGCCAACAGCGTCCTGTGGGCAGCGTCCTGTGACCACTGATGAAGGACTAGAGGATGACCAACACACACTGTGCAGCAGCAGATGAGCTATCGTCTCTGACTAAACATCTACAAGGTGGACAGACAAGGTAGGAGTGTCTAATAGAGTGGACAGTGAGTGGACACAGTGTTTAACAACTCCAGCATCACTGCTGTTTCTGATCCACTCGTACCAGCACAACACACACTAACACACCACCACCACGTCAGTGTCACTGCAGTGCTGAGAATGATCCACCACCCACATAGTACCTGCCCAGTGAGGGTCCATGGGGGTCCTGACCACTGAAGAACAGGGTAAAGAGGGCTAACAAAGTATGCAGAGAAACAGATGGACTACAGTCTGTAACTGTAGAGCTACAAAGTGCACCTATATAGTAAGTGGAGCTGATAAAATGGACAGTGAGCGCAGAAACAAAGAGGTGGTCATAATTTTATGCCTGATCGGTGTGTGTGTGTGTTCATATATATATATATACTTTATACTTACTAATACTTTTCTTAAGTACATCTCAGTCAAAAGTTTAAGTACAAGTATAGGCTGCATATACTTAAACTTTTCTGTATACTTGTAAGTATAAGCCAAGGATTCTTGTATACTGACAGCACACTTGGATAAACTTCTTAAGCTAATGTAGCTAACAAGTAATGGAAGCTTATACCTTCATCAGTTAGCATGAAGTCGGCATGACTACATCATCTCACACTTACTAAGTAATAAATAGTCTGATGTGCTTTCTAACACAAATAGGCTAAAGCAGTTTCTTACACTGAAGCCGTAACGGTATTGTTACAATAACGACTGCAGTAAAACTATCTTTGCGAAAAAAAAACACAAAC